CTACTTCTGCGGGACACCCGCCACGGAGAGGAACCGTTCTGTGCGACGGGCCCTGCCACATGTGGGCTGCCGGCCGGGGAGGAGCCGGGTCCCCTTCAACGGTCCCAGCGCTCCCCACCCGGCGCCCATGGGCCCATCCCTGGGCGCGGGCGCGGGCGCGGCAGAGTCCCTGTCTTGGCTCTGAAGAAGAGAGGCCTGGGGCCGGGGCCTGCGCGTGGGAGAGACCCGAGGGCCAAGAACAGGCACCGGAGCCCCCAGGGCCAGGTCCCCACGCTGAGAGCTCTAGCGCAGCCTAAACGCGCCTCTGGGGGCCGAGAGAGGCTGGGGGGGCAGCACCAGGGCCGGCGAGTCTGCTGGCACCTGAAATCTCGGCAACCACACAAGGGCCTCTCCACCCCACTGCGTGGCCGCCCCGCTGCCTCGCTCACACCCTCAAGGAGCTGTGAGGCCAGAGGGCCTGGGCCCTCAGCGGGGGGCCACCTGCTCCCAACACTCGTGTCCTCGATTCGCTGGGGCGCCCACTGCCTCTTCGTTCCCTCCCTGAAAGGACCAAGGTAGTAAAGGCGAGACGCCACGGTCTGCCCGGCCAGGTGGCTGTGCACACGCGGGAAGAGGCAAGAGAAAACCCACGGGACGGAGAGGCAGGGAGTTACAGATACACGAGCATCCAGCTCAAGACGGCAGATGAGTCCCACGCGCTCACCCGTCACCGGGACCTCAGTGAGAGGACAGGAGGGCGGCGTGTTTTAGAGACTAAGCCCGCGAGAACACTAGAAAACAGGAAAGATAAAATTAGCAGACCAGGAACTTCGGGGAATCCCAGGCAGACAGGAAGCAGATGGAAGGGCTCTGGTTTGAAGAGGGCGGCATCTGCAGGGTGTTTCCGCGTCCTTCCTGGAAAGCATCTGAAAGTAACGCGGAAACAAGAGATAAAAATGCATTCTCTCTGGGCAGAGAGCAAGGACACGGCAAAACCCCAAACACCATGCCTGTCAGGCGGGCGCGAGGTCCCTCCCAGAAAGAGCCCGCAGAACGCACTTCCCAAAGGTAAGCGCGCCATCACACGGAACCCAAATCCCGAGTTCCCAGACCCGGCCTGAATCTGGGGGGTGGGCAGCCTGCCCCTGAGCAGAGGCTTTGCCCTGTGAAAAGCCACAGCTGCCTATCTCCAGTGCCTGCGACAAGACAGGCACTAGGCCAGCTCCAGCCCCACGCAGCCGGGAAGGCCTCTGATACGGGTGCAAACGGCTGTGCTCGCTCAACTCGGGAGCAAACGGAAAACGGGAGCGTGACAGCCATCAGCGCCCCACCCCGCAGGCAGAGTGGATCAACTTGCCCTCCCAGCCACACAACCGGAACCCTGGACAGAACACATGAAACCATAGTTGGCAGGGGGGTGGACATCAGGAGTGAAGGACAGGGGACACAGAGCCCGCTCCAGTTCACCGGGAGGGCACATCCCGGCGGAGCAGCCACGCCCCTGAGCTGAGGAGACGCCGGGAGAGTATCGGAAGACCTAGGTCCTGCTGGACTTCGCAGGCTCTAGGACCAGAGAGAATCCCAGAGACCTGCACAGGGTCCTCTGGTTGCTCAGCTGTTTTCCTGCGCAGCACTGAGCAGCAGATTGATGTTCTCAAAGACGCTCACACCCTCCTCTGCAGACCCGTGGCTGTCACGTGACACAGCAGAGGGGATTTTAAGGGCACAGAGGTGGGGGCTCCCCTGGATTACGTGGGTGAGACCAGCCTAATCACGCAAGTCCTGAAAAGCAACAACCAATCTAGCTGGGGGAGGAGACATCAAAGCCCAGAAAGGACTCAACCCTCCATGGCTGGCTTTGGAGATGGAGGCAGGAGGCTGTCAGCCCGGCCCGGCCGGGGGAGGCCTGTAGAAGCTGGGAGCATCCCTCAGCAGAGAGCCAGCAAGAGGACAGGGACTTCGGTCCTACACACACAAAGAACAAAATTTTGCCCACGGCCCAAAAGGGCAGGAAGCAGCTCCTCCCCAGAGCCCCCTGAACAGAGAGCAGCCCTGCGGCCCTCGGTCTCAGCCCAGTGACATCCGCCGCAGGCTGCCGCCCTCCGGAGCTTTAAGATAAGTGCCTGCTGCTTAGGCCACTACTTTTGTGGTTATTTGTCACAGCAGCCACACGAAACTAATACGACACCACGTTTAAGAAGAAACCACATGTCCTGGCTGGTGTGGCTCAGTGGATGGAGCGCCAGCCTGCCAGCTGGAAGGCCGCAGGCTCATTCCCGGGCAGGGCACAGGCCTGGGTTGCGGGCCAAGTCCCCAGACGGAGGCATGCAGGAGGCAACCAACTGATGTTTCTCTCCCTCTCTTTCTCCTTCTCTTCCTATCTTTCTAAAAGTAAATAAATAAAATCTTAAAGAAGAAGAAGAAGAAACCACCCAAAGCCAGGAAAAGAGCCACCCAACGGGTGAGCAGAAAAATATCCCTGGAGGCCCCGGCAGCCAGCGGCGGAGGGGGGGGGGGGGCACCCGAACTCTCAGGGCGGCAGGCAGACAGCGTGGGCGGGGCCTGCCTCGGCGAGGCAGTGAGCCGAGCCCGAGACCAAACGCCACTCTGGTCTCAGCCAGCACCGCGAAGAGCGAGACCTGAAGGGCTCACACTGTTCCCAGGTAACTCGGCCGCACCCCAGCACCAAGCTCAAGAACAACAGGAACACAGAAATCTCCAAAAAGGGAAATGGAGATGGTAAATGGAAACATCCAGCAAGGGCAACATTTGACACCCAATCAAAAATTACCAGGCATTCAAACAAGCGAAAAATAACATAAAATACAGCCCATAATGAGCATGAACCAATCGATGCAAACTGGCCAGAAATGATGCAGAAAAAAGAATTTGTAGGCAAGAACATTTAGACAGTTAGCATAACTGTGTTTCATATAGTCAAGAAACCGCAGGTGCCCTGGCCGGTAGCTCAGTTGGTTAGAGCGTCGTCCCGATGCGCCAAGGCTGCTGGCTCAACCCTCAGTCGGGGCACATGCAAGAAGCAACCGATGCGTGCACAGATAAGTGAGCTGATAAATCAGTGTTTCTCCCTCTCTCTAATAAATAAATTAAAAAATTTTTTAAAGTTAAAAAAAAGAGAGAGAGACCACAGGCAGGACTGACTATATTAACATAAAGAGGTTACAGCAGAAGGAGAGAAAAAAAAAACGAGGCGGACACCAGTCACAGGAAAACCGGAGCCTCTGCTCATATCAGACAAGGGGTGTCCGAGACGTGCCGTCCCAAACGCTTCTGCACCTAACAGCAGAGCCTCAAAACACACAGAACCAAAACTAATACAAATGCAAGGGAAACACACAAATCTAAATTGCAGCAAGAGATTCCAACACCTCTCTCTCTGTATGAGGAAGAAATAATACCGACTCTACACAAATTCTTCCAGGAAAATTAAAAATAAGTGAATACTTCCCAACTGATTCCATGAGGCCAGCACTAGTCTGAAAACAAAGCCAGAAAAAGAGAATATAGGAAACACAGTAATTGAAACTATAGATCAATATTCTTCCTAGACACAGATGCAAAAATCCGTAACGATAGTTTATCAAATCATATCCAACAACAGGTGAAAAAGGACACTCTATCATGGCTAAGCAGGGGTTCTCCCATGAACACAAGGGTTAGTTCAGCCACTGTAATCCACAGTGATGGACCAGAAGAGGAAAACCAGACAGACAGTCCCCGGCTGGCGATGGTTCGACACCCAACTTCCAACCGTGCGAGAGCACCAATGCGACCATTGTGTTCAGTAGAACCCGGACTTACCCTTGTCTTTAATTAATTTACTTATTTTCAGAGAGAGGGGAAGGAAGGGAGAAACAGAGGGAGAGACAGGTGTCTGAGATACACTGGTCAGTTGCCTCTCGCACACCCCCACCCCAGGGACCCGGCCGGCAACCCGGGCCTGTGCTCGGACCAGGACTCACACTGGCGGCCTTTCGGTTCGTTGGCCAGCACTGGACCCACTGAGCCCTGCCAGCCAGGGCTGTACTTAGGGTTCTTATTTGTGCTCTGTTCTGGGCTAGCGATGCGCAGCCCAGCCCTCTGCCCGACGCATGGCCGGAGCGGCGGGTGCAGCGCCGGGCACACAAACCTAAACCACCAGCGCCCTACAGTGCAGCAATCGACGCACCGTTCATCCTACAGTATTTTCAACCTGCAGAGGGTTTATTGGATGAAACCCCTGCTGGACACGTTCAGGAGCATTTGTAACCATCTCAGTAAATGCAGAAAAGCATTTGTCACAACCCGACATCCACTTACAGCAAAAATGGCCAGCACCTCAGGGAAACCTGCAGAACACCATCCTCAGTGGGGGAAGACGACCTGCCGCCCCTGGGGGACAGGGAACGGGGCTCCTACCACCTGTCACGCTGGAGGGTCCAGCCAGTGCAGCAAGGCAAGAAAGGCAGGGACGCTCAAGGTGAAACAGAAGTAAAACTGTTTTTAATCACAGGTGATACAATCCTTCATGTAGAAAACCCTACAGAATCTACAAGAAATCAGCTAGCAAGGCCACAGGATATAAAAATGAAATATTTAGGGATAAATTTGAGAAACAGGATAGACAATACACTACAACTGTCACGCATTGCTGCAAGATATTAAAGAAAGCTCAAATAAGTGGATCTACAGAGCAAAGACATCAGCTCTTCCCCAAGGAATCTACAGGTTGAATATGTTCCCCATGGAAATCCCAGGAGGCTATTTGTAAGCAACAAGAGACTGACTTTAAAATTCATATGGAAATGCAAAGGGCCCGGAAGAGCCAAAGCAACTCTGAAAAAACCACTGGAAGACTAACCGTGCCTCACTGACACGGCTGACCAATTCTCAGCAAAGACACAAGGGCAGCTCAGTGGAGAAGGGGTGGATGTCCCGACAGGCGGTACCGGACAACTGGACACCCACACGCAAGAAAGTGGACTTCAGTCTGTGCCTTGCACCACGCACAAAAAGGCAAAATGACTCATGGCGTAAGTGTAAACCGTGAGGCTTCTGCCCCGGCTGGTGTGGCTCAGTGACTGAGCACCAGACTGCAAAACAACGGGCGGCTGCTTCGATTCCCCGTCAGGCCCTGGGCCTGGGTTACAGGCCAGGCCCCAGGCTGGGGGCGTGGGAGAGGCAGCCGACGCTTCTCGCACACATTGATGTTTCTCTGCCTCCCTTCCATCTGTCTAGAAATAAATAAAATGCTTTTCTTTTTTAACTATAAAACTTCTGGAAAGAAACACATCTGAGCAAGGCTCGATTTTGCGGGTTTTTTCCATAGGTTTTATTTTTTTTTAGACAGAGGGCCAGGGAGGCAGAAAGAGGGGAGACACACGGGTGTGTGGCAGCCTCTCGCGCGCCCCCTGCTGGGGACTGGGCCCCCTGACTGGGAATCGGACGGCGACCCTTCGGCTCACAGGCCATGCCCAGTTGAGCAAGGCTGGTTTGTCAGCTCCTACGGGCCACCCTGCCCCAGACCAGGCGGTCTGTGCACTAACACCGGACACTCAGGGGGTGACAGTGCCCGTCTGCATGGCCAGACCTGGGAGCACGTGGATGGCAAACAGGGCGCACACGCCACAGGGGGAGGGGCTGCAGAGACGGGGGAGGGTCCGGGAGGCCCCCGTCCTGCAGGAAGGCGCTGACGCTCACTGCCCGGCCAGCATGGCCCAGCGGGTCTGAGGGACACACAGCTAGTTAGCAGCGAGTCAGCGGTGGGGCAGGGCTCAGCCAGGACTGGCCCCCACCAGCTCCATTCTGCAGCCAGGTCATGGGGGCAGGCCTCCCCCTCCCTGCACCGGACGCGTGGGTAAGAGCCAGCTTCCTCCTCGCTCACCTGGCCTCAGCGTGCGCTGAACCGCAAGTGTAAATGCCCACCGGGCTCCGTCCTGGTGTACCACCGCGGCCACTGGATGTGGCACCGGCCAACAGAGGCACCAGGCCACCGGCACCAAGCCCCAGGCCACGCCCCCACGGCCGTGAGTCTGTATGGGGAGCCAGTCTGGGCGGGGAGCCTGGGAAGTCAGGGTGAAGTTCAGCCAGAGGGAGGCCCACGCGACTTTCCCTCACAGCCCTGCAGCTGGAGAAGGAGTCCCCTTCCAGAGTCACCAGCAAGAACCTGGGCTGGCTGGTGCTCATGGACTCTGAGAACACTACTGCTCAACAGAGCCAAGCAAGCTGTGCCCAAGTGCCCAAGGCCAGGGGCCCCTCCAGCTCCTTGAATAAAGCACATTTTTCATGGCATCCAGCAGCCAGAATTCCCTGAGCACTGGCCAGGAGAGCACACGAGCTGCAGGCCGTTCTGGGAGCCCCCGTCTGCAGGAGACCCGTGAGGGCTGGTGACGGGGCTCAGAGACGTGGGCTGCCAACCACACACAGGCAGCAACCCGCTGCTCACCTGGGCCTCGAGGACCCTGGGTCTGAAAACTAAGAGCAGACACCTGCTCCAGTCACATGGCTCAGCCGCGATGCGAGCAAGCACAGGCCCCACGGCTCCAGCTCCGACCCACTGGTGTCCTGGGGGAGTGAGACCAGCGAGAAGCTGGTCTGAACGAGCCATGACGGCCTAGACATTGGCCTCAAGGTGACCAGGACCACCCTGGCCGGTGAGGCTCAGGGGGCTGGGCATCATCCCGCAGACTGAAAGCTCGTTGGTTTGATTCCCGGGCAGGGCACAGGCCTGGGTTGCGGGCCAGGCCCCCGGTTGGGGGCAAGGCAGAGGCAATGGCTTGGTGATTTTCTCCCTTCCCCATGTCTAAAAATAAATAAATAAATTCTTTAAAAAAAAAAAAAGGTGACTGAGACAGCGGACTTTCGGTCATTCCACGCTGACACCAAAGCGAGACCAGAGACACCTGCTCCCTCGAGCCCAGGCCGCTCCCAGGCCCTCTGGCCGCCAGAACGCTGACCTGACGGTCGGTGCCCCGGGTCACAGTCGTACCCCCGGAAGTGTGTCCTTGACGAGGATTCCCCATGGTCTCCTGGGGCCCAGTGCCCGCCGGGCTTCCTCACTGGGGCCACTCGCTGAGCGCAAACCCTTCACCCCTGACCTCTTCCTGTGTCACCAGGCACTCAGCTATCGGGGCCAGGGATCAGCACCGCCCCGTCCTGTTCCTCACCTCCCTCCCACACCCTGCGGTGCACTCCTGGCCTCCTCCTCCACCTCTGCCACCCCTACCAACATCCCCTTTCAAAACAGTCCCTGCCTCCAGACGGTCCCCTCAAAGATGGCCTCAGCCTCAACGCTCCGTGCCCCTGCCACCAGCGGGCCGTGCCAGCTTACACTCCGAGGCAAGGCCACGCCTCCGCTCCCAGTGCCCTCTGCCCCGCCCACGCCCCTCGCCCCTCGGTGCTTAGCGCTGGCCTCACTGCACTCGAGCCCCCTCCCCGCCCTGCCGCTCCCGCGGCAAAAGGGGAACCTCTGCAAGTATGGTGGGAACCGCCTGTGCCCACAGAGCCCTGGTCCTAACGCTGCCCCGCCGCTGAGCCGGCGCTGCGGGAAAATCGGAACCCAAACCCAGGCCGAGGGGCCCAGGGACCCGGGCTGGCCAGGCACCACGCAGCTCTCACCTTGGCTGAGAGCTGGGCTTCCCGTGGCCCCGCCACTGTACCACCTACACCCTCTGACCAGTGACCCTCGTGACTCCGGACAAATGCCCCTTGCATGTCAAAGGGAAAGGATACAGCGATCCTCAGCTTTGAGACTCTCAGAGCCTCCTTTGGGGGAAGCAGGAACGTGGACCACATGCCCTCAGGGAGGCGACAGGCGCTAGGACAGGGGACCTCCGGCCCTCAGCCCGGGCACCCCGCGTCCACCCTGGGAGGGGCCGGCCACTCCGCGCCGGCGTAAGGAAGCGGCGAGCGGCAGGGCTCCCGAGCCTCTCTTCCGGGTTGTGACGCGGCGAACGGGCCCTGCGGGGACCTGGGCGCACCTGAGCCCGGTGGGAGGAGGGCGGGCTGGCGGGCTCGGCCCCACGACGCCGGGTACGCTCCCCGCGCTAGCCTGGTGACCTTGGGGAGGAGCCCCCCGACTCGGCCTCCAGCGCGACCTGGCCGAGGCGGCGCCGTCCCGTCTCAGCCCCCCGCTGCCCCGACGAGCGCCTCCCCGCGCGAGCGCCGCGGGGCCCCAGCCCCCACCCGCCGGTTACCTGAAGTGCAGCCGCCGCCGCGGCCGGGCGCAGCCCTCCCGCCCAGCCGCAGACCGGAGTGGGCGGGGCCGAGCGTCGAGCCCGCCCCAGCCGTCCTTCGCCAATCGCGACCCGGAGCGCGGCGGCCCGAGTCCGGCCCCATGCGATCTCTGCGCTGATAGGTCGGAGGCGCGTCCCTCTCGCCCGCTGCCTACCGCCTACTGAGCCCCAGCGAGCGGGAGTGCGCAAACTCCGCCTCGCGCTCGGCCCCGCCCAGGTCGCCCCTGGAGCGCCCCGCTGGACTGTTGGCTCCACCGCGGGTTCGGCCCGTCACTGCGCAGGCGCAAGGTCCTTTCTGCGAGCCGGATGCTTGGTCTCCTCTCTCACTTTCCTCAGTGTTCCCACTGGATACTCATACCCTCACGATCTCCGCACACAGACACCGCCCACACAGCCGCACAGGGGTGACCCAAGAGAGACGCGGGCTCTGCGCGCCATCGCGCCCAAAGCCGGTCCCCTCGCAAACACACGCCTGAACAGGTGCGCGCGCCGGGTGGACCCGACCTGGACACACACGCGCACTATGCTCTCTCTCTCTCTCTCACACATGAACACACATACTAAATACCCAATAAGGACCTGGAGACCCCGGGGCCGCCGACCCCCCCGCGAACAAATGTGCGCACACACATGCAAGAGGAGGCTGTGTTCAGTGTGCCGGCAGATCTTGGGATGAAGAGGAACAGGTCTCTGCGCTCAGGACCTTGGGTCTGGAGAGGCAGATAATAAGCAAGTAAACGACCCATAAAACACACGACATGGTGTAAGGGGGCGCGGCTGGGAGCTGGGAGAGCAGCCAGCGTTCTAGGCAGAGACACACACGAGCACCTGCAGAGACCCCGAGGCTGAAATGGCCTGGACCAGCTCACAGATCAAAATAAAGGAGCGAGGGACGTTCAGAGAGCTCAGGAAGTGAACGCCGCATTCCGGGAGGGAAGTGGTCCCAACACTACATCCACAGTGTGACAAGTGTCTGTGTCTTGCTGCACGTTAGGTCTGCAGTGTTTGGGTGCGGGTGCAACGTGGCAGAGTGGGGCCCCAAGGTCGGTTGCACGAGGGCAGGGTGGCCACAGAGGGGAGGGCCATTGTTCTTCACAGAGAGAAGGGCTTCGGCTTGTTTCTTTTGTAGGGGAGGACAGAACGCAAGTGGCCGAGCGAGGTGCTGGCAGATGAGGCTGGCCCCTCGGGAAGAGCCCCAACCCCACCTTCCAACCGTAATCCCACCAGCCTGGAGGGGGCAGGGGTTAACTAAGGCCCGTGGAGGTTGCCAGAGAGGAAGACAGGAGGCTGCTCCTTCCAAGCTCACCCCGAGACGGCTTGCTCTCCTATCTCCCCACCCATCTTCCCAGGCCAGGGCTGCATGCCCTGCCGGCCCTGCCCCTCCCCGGCCTCCGCTGGACTTCAGTCCCCGAACACACAAACTGCCCAGCACACATCACAGATGTCACTTCACCTTTATTAAAAGATTTTATTTATTTCTCTTTATAGAGAGGGGAAAGGAGGGAGAAAGAGAGGAAGAGAAACATCCATGAGTGGTTGTCTCTCGCACGTCCCCTACTGGGGACCCGGCCCACAACCCAGGCCTGTGCCCTGACTGGGAATCAAACTGGCGACCCTGTGGTTCACAGGCCGGCAGGCCCTCTACTGAGACACACCAGCCTGGTCAGTTTTGTTAAATTATTAACACCAACCTCACTTCCCCAACAGTAAGCTCTGCGAAAGGCCCGTGTCTGCAATTTGCTCCCAAGCGCTCAGCACCGAGCCCAGGGCGTGTTGAGTGCTCAAGGAGCGTCTGTGGGCTAGAGGGATGGCCCGGCCTACGGAGGAAGAGGAGGGAAGATGGGCTGCAGAAAGGAGCCGGGGACCGGCTTGCTGGCCTCCGGTGTGTCCCCGGCCCCAGCGGGAGCCGGTGGGGGCAGGCAGTGGCACAGCCACCCTCGGCAGGAGCCCCACACCTTTCCCTGGTGCTGTGCTAGCGCTAGCCAGGGCCCTTCTCCAGCCCTCCCAACGTCTGAGGAGCAGCCGGGCCTGAAGTCCCCTCTGCTTGGAACACCTGGAGTGGTTGCTCTTTACCTAACCTGCGGGTCAACAACAACAAACCAGTTAGCTTGTCCATGTTTGCTATATTCCAGGCAATTTGCCAGACGCAGCCTGTGGGTGAGCAAGGAAGGGCAAACACAAGCCTGGCTCTCAAGCAGCCCACAGTCCGACCGGGATGAGACAGTGAGCCTCAGCATGCCCGGCAGAGACTCCCCGGGCCTTCCCTGCAGCGGGGCACACCACCGCCACCGTGAGGGACAACTCAACCGCGCCGACGCCAAGGCCCCACCGCGGCCCAGGCCTGTGGGACACTCGCAGGACCGCCATCCGCCGCCTCTGTGCTAGCCACCTCCTGGCAGAGACTCTGCACGTTCGGGCCTCCGTTCTGTCACCTGTAAAATGGGTATCACCCGGCTGTGCTCCGCTTAGAGATCCTGGACAAGCACTGCCTGCCTGGGACAGGCACGTCAGGTGGGGTCGGCGGGAGACGGTAACCGCAGCTCCCAGGGCCGCTCGCTCGGTACCTGGCACGCAGCAGGTGCTCAGGGAATGTGACCTGCTGCTCCCCGTGGTGGCAGTGCTCACAGGAGCCTCTCCAGGACAGGGCAGGGCAGGGCCGCACTGGCTGCCCTCTCCTGGGGCTGCAGGGTTTGCGGTGGGCTCCGGCTGGAGGCCTCGCTTGCCTCGCACACAGGTCCTCAAGTCTTCAGGGAGCTCTGGGGGAACGTCCTCTAGCAGGCCTCGGCCCAGGTAGGCGCAGCTTCCAGGCCTCAGCAGAGGAAGGCTGTGCTTCTCTCCCGCCCCCTCGGCTGCCACCTTGGGACCCACCCAAAGGACGAGGGGTGCAGGTGACACAGTGGCTGCCATGTGCTTCCCTTCTCCCTCCTCATGTTCTTGGGAGCCCCACGCCCAGCCTCCTTAAAGGTCTCTGGCGTTCAGCTACACCCAGGGCGGCCCACAGAGGCCTCATCCTGGCTCTAGCATTTGGGGGTTCTCACCACACAGAGAGCAGGCCCCATGCAGGGCAGGGCTGACTCCAGCAAGGTGTTCTCAGGACAGGCAGGTCCTGGGACAGAAGGACACACACACACACAGACACTGCCTTTGAGGGCACAATGCTGGTGCCGCTCTAGAACCCTCCGTTCTAGAACCCGCCCCCGCTTTCCCAGAGCCCGCCCTCCCCGGCACCGGTCCCTGACTGCCTCGGGCCCACCCTGAGCTCTCGGCCAGGGTCATCCCCCTGCCTCTGCCCTAGTCCCGGCAAGACTTCCAAAACTTGGCTGCAGCTGTGAGGGGGCACAGGTCCCATGTGGCCTCCGGTGGCCCTGTCCTCCCTGCCCCTCTGACATAAGTCAGGCCTCAGCCACACCCCCCACCCCTTCCCAAGAGCCCGCATTGAGCGGGCCGCGGCCGTCCCTTCTGCCGCGGCCTGCTCTCCGTGAAGGGCAGTGGCCGGCGAAAGCTGGACCGGCAAACCTTCACGGCGCAGGGGCGTGAGTGCGGGGATGAGGGCTATCTGCTCCCCTCCAGGAAGGCCGGCCCCGGCGCCTTCTCCAAAGTCCCCCTGGCCCACGCCACACACGAGCGCTCGCTGCACAACCCCAGGCCGGCCTCCGACCTGCAAGGCTGTCCTGGAGAGCCCGCCGCCTCCTCGCGGTACCGGACTCGGGACACCCTCCAACCCAGCCCCTGCCCTAACCCTGCCGGGTCCCTCCCAGCTGCTCCGGCTCCCCCCCGGCCCTGCGCCCTCCCACAAGCTGACCACCTCCAGCCCTCGAACCCCTGAGCACATGAGCGCCTGGGACAGCGCTGTCTCCCAGGACCCCGCTTGCCCTGCTTCACCCTGCCAAGTTCAGCAAGTGCACAGAGGACAAGGGACCTGTCTTGGCCAGTCCTGCCACGAGGGGCCGCAGTCTGCACACAGTGGCTCCCCTCCACCCCGCAGGTGGCCATCAAGGTCATCTCCACCGCCGAGGCCCCCGTGGAGCTCTCCCGCAAGTTCCTGCCCTGTGAGATCTCGTCACTCAACGCTACCTACAAGCACCTGAACGTGGTGGGCACACACCCCAAGACGGCCGGCCCCACCCTGCCCATCCCCGGCACCAGCCCCGCTCCATCCTGACACCCCAATCCAGAGCACTGGACAGCCCCTCCTTGTGGTGAGAGCAGGCAGGCGGGGGTAGCGCAGGTGCAACTGTACGAGACCTGCCACAACAGCCAGCGCTCCTGCTTGCTGCTGGAGCTGGTGGGCCGTGGCGACCTGCTGGAGCACATCAACGCGGTGCCGCACCACCGCTGCAGCCAGGGGCTGGAGGAGGCAGCGGCCCGCAGGCTGTTCCGGCAGCTGGTCAGCGCAGTGGCCCACTGCCACTGCTTGGGCGCCGTGCACTGGTGAGGGCGCAGCCCGGCCTGCCCTCGTCTGCAGGAGCGGCCTGCCCACGCCCAGCCCCAGCCCCAGCCCCACCTGCCCTTCCCCACACAGGGACCTAAAATGTGAGAACATCCTGCTGGACGACCAAGGCCTCCTGAAGCTCACGGGTGAGTCTGCGGCCCAGTCCTCGCCCTCGTGCCAGCTTGGCCTGACCCACCCCCTGCACAGTGTTGTGCCTGCCAGGCCCCCAGCCCCCTCCCTGGTCTGCTCCAGACTGGACCCCAGCCTGGCTTGACCTCCAACCCTCCCGGGAGGCCTCCACCCCACCCTCACCCACAGCCACCCTGCAGCCACCCCCGTCCGTGCCCACCACACAGCCATCCCCCCGGAGCCCACCCGCTGGTGCCGCCCCTGCCACGGGACCGCCTGCCCTGCACCCCTGCGTAGACTTCGGCTTCGCCAGCCAGTCGGGAATCAAGAAAGCCCTGCTGAACACCTTCTGTGGCTCCATGGCCTACACCGCCCCCGAGATCCTCATGAGCAAAGTACAGGGGGGAGCAGGCTGACCTGTGGAGCCTGTGCGTGCCACCCACTGCAGCCCGCAGGCTGGGGCCCAGGGCGGGGGGCACGCCTGAAGAGCCCCTGCCCCCAGGGGCGTCCTCCTCTACGCCATGCTGACGGGGAAGCTGCCCTTCAAGGGGCGCCGTGGCCCCAGCTTCCCACCAGGCCTGTCCCCAGGTGAGTGCCACTACCGCCTTTCCCAGGTCCCAGCAGACCTGGGCCAGAGGGCCCCTCTGTGCCACGGAAGGAGTCACAGAGGAGGCTCCCCTGGCCTCCGCCTCCCGCCCGCCGTAGTGAGAGGGAAGCCAGGCTGAGCTGGGAGCTCACGCGGACCTCGCCTCTCTGCGCCTGTCTGCCCAGAGGTGACAGGCAGAGGCCCCCCAGCAGACCCCTCGAAGCTGCCGGCCCTGTTGGCAGGGCGAGCGCGGGGTGGGGAGGTGAGGGCAGGTGGGAAGGGGACCGGCTGCAGCTGCCGAGCCCCCGCCCGCAGAGTGCCAGGACCTGACCCAGCTGTGCCCGCCCGCGCGCCTGGACCTACGGCAGGTGGCGATGCACCGCTTGCTGCACGCATGCCGTTCTGCACTGTGCCCAGCGCCTCGCCAGGTGGGGCAGGGCCCGGAGGATGGGGAGCTGGGCACCCTGACGCCCAGACTGACCCCTCAGTGCGGTTCCCAGAAGAGAACCCGGGGGAGCCCAGAGAGGACTCGGAGCCACCAAGGTCACTCCTGCAGCAGCGTCGCCCCCAGCAGCTGGGAACCCCCAAGAGCGCCTCTGGCCCAGCACCAGAGGCCCCAGAGGCCAGCCCAAGCGGAGCTGGGGGCTCCCCCGGGCTCAGGCCCCGAAGCACTGCAATGGCCAACCCAGGCGTGGGCGCCTCCAAGCAGCCGCCTCCACTGTGCTCCAGGGGCGCCACCCCGCGCATGTCGGGGCACTACCAGGTCAACTGAGGGCAGGCGGGTAGACCACATGGAAGCCAGATAAACCATTTATTCTCTGGAGCCAGAGGTTTCAACCAACTGGCACTAGGGAAACAGGACGCTCCTGAACCAGGCACAGTAAGTCCATGCACCTGCATTCCAGACCTATAATTGGGGGGGCTGTGGAGGGAGACACACGGCACCCAGCCTCCGTGGGACAGCACACGTGGGCAGACCTCCAGCTTCAAAAACGGCACCAGGACAGAGGACGAAGAGCAGGGCTGCGGGAGCTCCTGGAGAGCCCAGCTGCACCACAGCGGCAGGGCGCGCAGGCCCCGGGGGGCCAGGGCTCAGGTTCCGCGCCCCTGACGGCACTAGCAGCTTTGGCAGGAGGCCCAGGGAAGGAGCACGGGGTGGGGGCGGGGGCGGCCACACTGACAGCCCACCAGTAACAGCTTGAATGCTGCAGAGTTAAGGGGACCGCATGTGGCACTGGGGAAAATCAGGCTCTTGTGCTGGCAAGGGCCTGCAGGCAGAGCCAAGGCACAGGTCAAGTGGGAGCGAGGATGAAGGGGCGGCAGCACCCAGCCGGTGTCCGAACGGCAGGCCAGGCAGGCGCAGCTCTAGGAGACCCCCAGGGCAGGCTGTAGCCAGTGAAGGCCTCACCAGGTCAGCCCATTGAGGCGGAGGGTCAGCCAAGGGCCCAGACGGAGGGACCCGGTGGGGCTGGCAGGAAGGGGCACTGCTGGCACCGCTGCCCGCCTGGGCTCAACCCCTGTAGCGCCCCCGGGACTGGAAAGCTCCAGCTGGCCTCTCACGCTTGCGACATTTTCCGGTCCAGCCTTGCCACCACGCCTGAGACAAGGCGATGGCCCCACTGTCCAAGCAAGCCCCTGCAGGTCCCCGAGAGCCCCAGGGCCTGGCCGGCTCGGGCTGAACAGCTGCACTGTTGCTGGAAGCGGCAGAGCACAGGAATGCGCTCTCCACCCTCCCATGTTTAAGGGGCATCAGCCCTAGAGTCCTCAGCGTGAACCTGGAGCTTAGGGGTAGCTGTGCTTCTCAGGAGGACACAGCCGTCGAGCAAGGTGACCGAGACCCGCAGGCCACTGCAGAAAGGCCTGGTCTGGGAGGCCAGGACTGATGGGCTAGTAAAGGTGTGCCTGGTGCTGGGCGGGCTGCACGGCCTCAGGTGGGTGCGCCCCCCTCCGCGCGGGGCTCTGGGGCCAGCTCCCACTCCTGCTGCCCCCGCTGGCACTGCTCCTGCTCCTGGCGGTCCAGCCGCTGCAGCTGGTGCTCCACGTCCTCCGGCACCTGCACCTCCAGCAGGTTTTCCATGCCTTGCTCTGGCTCATCCCCAATAAGCACCTGCAGCAAGGGCGGCAGGTGAGCGGCTGGCTGGCAGGCACACCACGGACATCTCCCCACCCCCACAAACCCTGAACCCACCTGGATCAGTTTCTCACAAGTCACCCGCACGTCAGACTCAGGCTCCCAGCTGTGCAGCTCACGCAGAATCAGGTAGGCTCCCTGGTCCCTCACCTGCTGCCGACCCCGGGCTGTGGCTGTCAGCTGGAAGAGAGCAGAGGCTAGCCACGTGACAAGGGGGTCCTGCGTGTGCTGGGGATGGGGTTACTGCGCAGGACCTCTGCTCACCAGCATGACGGCCTCGATGAGCATCTTGCGGATGTCGGCGTCAGGCTCCCGCTGCTTGTCCGACGGCAGGTACTGCAGGTCCACGGGCAGCCCTAGGGGTGAATGTGGGAGCCTCTGGGTCCCTGTGATAGGCAACCAAGCCAGACCCCACCTTTGTAAGCCCCATCTGCACTCCGCAAATTTCTGCTAAAAGTTCTCAGAAGGGAGCCTCATCGGGACACTTCCTTCCCCTCCCACTACTGGCCTTCCCTCCTGCCAGGTCAACCCTGAGGGTCCACTCAGCCTACTCACGCTCCATCTCCTCCTCAGAGAATTCCTCGGGCCCAGCCAAGGGCAGTAGCAAGAAGGGGAGAATGTCCACCTTGGGCCCCAGCAACCACTCGTGGTGTCCTGAGGAGGGCAGGGATGGGGGCCAGTCCAGAGGTGCCCCAGAGTCCATTCTCTCCCCCATTGCCCACCACCGCAATGCCCCCGCCACCACTCACGGTGCTCGAAGCAGCAGTTTCGCAGCGTCCCCACGACCCCGCCCCTGCGCACCGCAGAGTCTGGGTATTGGGTAAGGGGCAGCAGCCGTTGGATCACGCACCTGAAGGAAAGGACCAGTCAGTGCTGTTCCTGCTCACTGTCACTCCCTCCCCCCGGGCATCCTGGTGTTCACCTGTCGGGGTCCAGCAGGAAGGCCCGCGCCGCGGGACGCTGGCTGAGGTTGGAGAGCACTGGCCCCAAGTAATGGAGGGGCGCGCGGGCGTTGTAGTCGGGCGTGCACAGAGCGCGCACGAGCCGCTCCAGGCCGGACTCCCCCAGCTCCGCGGCCGTCAGCGCCTCCATCAGCGAGACACACGGCGCCGGCTCGCGGCTGAGGTTGGCCAGCACGGCGGCTGCCTCCTCTGCCCAGGGCCACTGCGGGTCCAACGCACGGCCCAGTAGGCAGGCAGGCAGCCCAGGCTCGGCCGCCAGCAGCGGCTCGTGCAAGCCGGGGTCGGCGGTCAGGTTGACGAGGGCGCGGGCTGCGTCGCGGGCAGGGGCTGGGGCCGGGGCCGCCGCCAGGCTGACCAGCGCCCGCAGCAGTGCCTCCTGGCCGGCCAGCAGCGTCCGCCCCGGCCCCGAGCCGGTCAGCGCCAGCACGTGCCGCGCTGCCTCCTCCTGTAAGTCCGCCCGCGCCCCGGGCGCCAGGAAGGGCAGCAGCTTCGCCGCCTCCGCCTCCGGAGTCAGCAACTCTGCCGGGCCGACGCCACCCGCGGTCGAGCCACAGTCCCCCGCGACCTCCCCCATGCCCACCAACACTTCGCAACCCCGCGGGCAGTTCAGGGCCAGTCCGCGCGCTCCGCCCCGGGGAGACACGTGGTACGTGGCCCCGTCCACCAAGAAAGCGGAAGCCACAGCGGCCAATCCGAGTCTGAGGACTCGGCGCAAGGGGCGGGACCATCATGCGGAGGCGGGGCCACGCCGAGGTCCGGGGCATTGTGGGGCTGAGGGCCGGCCGGAAGTGACCCGCCAGTTTGTGGCGAGGGGCGGCGGCGGGGGTCACGTAGGGACAAGCATTGAGCCGCCTGTTTGGCCCCATCCCTTGGTGTGACCCGCCAGCCCCTGGTGGCTGGCTGATGGATCGGCCCTCCTCCATCGTGGATTGAGCAGAGATCGATCTTCTCTGGGAGAGACAGATGATCAATGACACTGATTGACATTCCAATGTCAGACCAGCCTTGCGCTCCCAGCACAACCCCCTTTGCCTCTTGATGTAGTTTCATTTTTATATTATTGTATTTAATTTGCTAAAATTTTGTTTAGGCTTTTTGCCTCTCTGTCCACGGGGGAGACTGGTCTGTTTTCTTGTAATGTCTTTGGGGGTGATGTTGACCTCAGAAGGATTGGGGAGTATTCCCTACTCTTCAGTTTTCTGGAAGAGTTTGTAAAAGTTGTATCGTTTCTTTCCTTAGTGTTTGGTAGAACTCCCTAAAATTCTGGGAATATTTTTCAACTACAAATTAAATTCCTTTAATAGATACATGACTATTCAGGTTGTCATTTTTTCCTTGGCTGACTCTTGGCAGTTTGTGTCTTTCAAAGAATGAGACCTTTTCATCTAAATTGCAGAATTCGTTGGCATGAAGCTCGTGATAATATTCCCTTAGTATCCTTTTAATATATGTAGAGTCTGTAGTGGGGTCACCTATCATTCCTGATATGGGTAATTTCTGTCTTGTTTCTCTTTCTGTGGGTCTTGCCAGAGGTTTGCCAAAGTTACTGATTTCAAAGAACCACCTTTGGGATTCATACATTTTTTCTATTGCTTTCTTTTTTTAATATTGATTCTTCACTTTCACCTTACTATTTCCTGTCTTCTGATTACTTTGCTCTTCTTTTTCTAATTTCTTAGGGTAGAAGTTGAGATCATTAATTTGAGATATTTCTTCCTTTTTTAAAAAAAGATTTTATGTATTTATTTTTAGAGAGAGGGGAAGGGAGGGAGAAAGAGAGGGAGAGAAACATCCATGTGTGGTTGCCTCTCACATGCCCCCAACTGGAGACCTGGCCCACAACCCAGGCCTGTGCCCCGACTGGGGATCCAACCAGCGACCCTTTTGTTTGCAGGCCGGTGCTCAGTGCACTGAGCCACGCCAGCCAGGGTTTATTTCTTCTTTTCTGTTACAGGGTTTTGCCCTTATTTATTCCTTGAATCGTGGGTTATTTATATATTCTACTTTCACATGGTTATGAGCCGCTTGGTAGAGTGGTATCATTTTTATTTCACACCACAGGCTAGGATGACATCTCTAGGGTCAGCGATGCCCAGGAGAACCACTCTCGGGGAACAGCATCCCCGGAAGTCTGTAGGTCATAGGTGCAAGAGCTGGGATGTGCCTGTGGCTAAGACCCATGGGAAGGGCACTTCATAGCCTCAACCCCCACCTAACCTTGTGTGAAAGTCCCATGGACACTGAGGAAGGGAGTAGATGAGTCCAAGCAGGTGTCCAGCTCTCCAAGGAAAGCACATGCTTAGGACATACAGATCCTACCCATAAAAGTTGAATATTTCTTGCCCTGGCCGGTACGGCTCAGTGGATTGAGTGACAGCCTGCAAACCAAAAGGTCGCCAGCTCGATTCCCAATCAGGGCACAGGCCTGGATTGTGGGCCAGGTCCCCAGTTAGGGGGCGCGTGAGAGGCAGCTGATGAGTGTTTCTCTTGCACACGGATGTTTCTCTCCCTCTCTTTCTCCCTCCCTTCCCCTCTCTCTAAAAAATAAAATCTTTTTTGAAAAAGGCTGAATATTTCTTGAGGAAGGGAACTGGAATACCATGGATAACCTAGGTAAGTGATGCCCTCTGGTGGGTACTTCTGACCAAGACAAAAATGCGCACCTTCAGGGCCCCCTGGACCAGAAGTGTTTACAGTAATCACCAGCCAGGGAGGCTTAGCTGTTCCCAAGATAAATTAAAAGATACGAAGACCTCCGGTCAAGATGGCGGCATCGGTAAACATAGCTCCCCTCTTTGCACAACCACATCAAAATTACAACTAAAATATAGAACAACCATCACTCAGAGCCATCAGAACTCGAGTTGAACAGAAGTCTGACAACTACAGAATTAAAGAAACCACATGCACCCAGGCTGGTAGTGGGAGCGCAGACGAAGAATGGGCCGGTCGCTCACCCAGGTGTGGGGGATAAAAATTTGGGAGGGACATCTCAGGAGCGAGGAGTCCCAGCCCCACACCAGGTCCCTCAGCCCAGGATTCCAGTGCCAGGAAGATAAGTCTCCACAACTTACGGCTACAAAAACCAGCAGGGATTGAGTCAGTGGAAGAAACTTCTGGAGCCCCAAGCAGTTCCTCTTAAAGAACCCACACACAGACTCGCCTACTCAGACTCACTCCCTCTGGGCTCCGGCACTGGGGTGGCAGCTTTAAGGACACCAGTGGCACCGGGGAGGAACTGAAGTGTCTGGCATCAGGGCGAGCAAAGGCCACTGGCCCTTCTCTTCTCTTTTCTTTTTTTAAAAGATTTTATTTTCAGAGAGAGGGGAAGGGAGGGAGAAAGAAGGGGAGAGAAACATCGATGTGTGGTTGCCTCTCGTGCGCCCCCTCCTGGGGACCTGGCCCGCAACCCAGGCCTGTGCCCTGACTGGGCATCGAACCGGCGACCCTTTGGTTTGCGGGCTGGCGCTCAGTGCACTGAGCCACACCAGCCGGGGCGTTGTCCCTTTTCTAAACCCTGAGCTGCCTGGCCAGGGCTCTAACCTATTTTCTGTCTCTATAAAGTTGCCTATTCTAGGTACCTCAATGGTTACATTTTCTGTAGCTCTAGTAGTGTGGAAGCCAGGCATGTACCTCTATGTAACCGGTACCATAAACACAACAGAGAACGGTTTAACCACCACAAAGATCTCAGGGCACTTCTGTCCTTAACCTCAGCAACCAACAACCTCCTCTTCATCTAAAAAGGTTATATACATGGCAACATACAGTATCTGGCCTTTCCAGATCGGACTTTTTTCCCACTCAGTGTGATTCTCTGGCAGTTCACTCAGGTCGTAGCGTGTGTTGCTCATTTGTCCACTTTTATTGCTGAAGAGCCTTCCACGGTGTGGCTGCACCCCAGTCTGGTTACCCCCTCACCTGTTTAAGGACGTTTGTGTCATTTCCAGTTTCTGGCTATTACAGATAAAGCTGCTGTAAACATCAGAGTGCAGATTTGTGTGTGGACAGCCGTTCTTGTTTCCCTGGGCGTTTAGTTTTGGAGAAACTGCCAAATGGTTGTCTGGACACTTGGGTTCCCACAGCAGCGCGTGGGGATCTGGCTGCCCTGCGTCTCCCCAGCCTTCGGCGGGGCCATGCGCTCCTAACCCAGCCACCCGTGGGCTGCGGTCCCCGAGTGGCCAGCGATGTGGCACCGATTCTGGTGTGTTCGTTTGCATCTGCATCTCCTCCTCGGGGAAATAGCTGTTCCTGTCTTCTGCCCATTTTTCTAATGGGATTGTTTGTTCCTTATGCCCATGTTAAGAATTGTCTCTACATTGCAGACATGTGTCCTTGGCGGGTGTGCATTTGCGGATATTCACCCGCAGTGTGCAGCGTGTTTTCATCCTGTTAACAAGGCCTTACCCTGAGCAAAAGATCTGAGTGACCAAGTCCAAGTTATCGAATTCTTTTCTATCCAGGGCCTTGGGTGTGATGTCGGAGGACTCATCAACTACTAAGGAACAGAAGATTCTGTTCACTTATAAAATTTTTAGTTTCTACATTACAGGATCCACTTTGAGTTTTGTCTTTGATTTTATGGCGTCTTTTGCCATACTTTTCCCCCCTTCTTTTCTACTCAGAAGATATGGCTGTCTTTTCCTCCTAAGTGTTTCTGAATTACCTTCTGAGGTATTTATAGTTGCATTGCTTACATTCTAATATTCAAATCACCTGGAAATTTCTCCTGCGAATGACAGGAGGGAGGGTCCGGCTTCATGTCCTGTCCACACACCCTGTTCCTAAGCGGCTGAGGTACGCGAGACCATTTAACCCGCCCAGCAGCCCTGCGAGACGCCTTAGCGCTGCCACCCCCTCTCGCAGATGGGGCACCTGAGGCTGACAGGACTGCGGTAACTGGCTTAAGGTCACACAGTCCCGAAGTGGCGCAAATATACACATATTTGCTGTGTTGACTTCTTCTGTACTGAAAGACCCACACTCTTGATTTTTGCACATTTTTCTACTGGGTTGTGTGATTTTTCTCACTGTTATTAATTTGTAGATGTTCTTTCCGTATTTTGGAGATGAGCCATTTTTAGTTTTTCACTCTCCTAATGGTATATTTAGGCTAACGGTTTTCTTAATGTAAACATAATTAGCCCTGGCTGGTGTGGCTCCGTGGAGTGAGTGCTGGTTTGTGAACCAAAGTTTCACCGGTTCGATGCCCAGTCAGGGCACGTGCCTGGGTTGTGGGCCAGGTCCCCGGCAGGGGAGGCACACGAGGCAACTGCACATGGATGTTTCTCTCCCTCTTTCTCCCTCCCTTCCTCTCTCTAAAAATAAAAACATAGTTATATATTAGTATGTATTAAAACTGTATTTTCCTTTATGATTAGTGGGTTTTTTGACCTGTTAACTACACTTGCCCAACTTTCTCATGTTTTTAACTTTAAAGCATTTACTCCTTTGTGATTTAAACCACGAAACCCCGCGGAAGCGGACCTGCTGGGGCTCGAAAGAGCCGCCCACCCAGCAGCCCCGCGTGAAGGCCGCTGGCCGGGCCGGGGGGCGGGGTGTGGGGGAGGTGTGGGAGGCCGACTGTAACCATAAAGCCATTGAGAGGAAACCTGCCGAGGCTGAAAACACTCACAGGAAAGAACGCGCCGCCCAGGCAGCGCAGCAGAAGGTGTGAGAACCCGAGCACGTCCTGTGCCCAAGCAGCCCAAGCAGCCAGCACGCGGGGGCCCCCGAGGCCCGGGCCGTCAGGAGACGCTCTAGACCCTGCGCCTCGCAGACCGAGTGCGACCCTCTGGGTGCTTGGGTTGCGGGGTCCCGAGGACACTGCCCCCGCATGGCTCCTTGGTGAAGTGGGTGTGGCCCCGTCACGGGTTCTTCCTTCCGGGCGGAAGGTAACAAAGTGCCAGGTCTCACCTGCATCAGAAGGCGCCCCCCCGCCCCCGCCTGGGCCAGCCAGACTCTCTCCTGTCCCCCGAACATCTGGCCACTTGCTGGCTTATCAGTCCCCCTCCCACCTTGCCCCCAGTAACCGACTGGTAAGCGCCGGCTGAGTGCCTGAGCAGGGACGAGCCCACACTATGGGACCCCGCCTGGGTGAGCAGGCCCGGCCCACCCGTGCGGCTGCCCCACCGTGGGCTGACCACACCCTGGGCCCAGTCCCACCCACTCCACCAGCCAGGCCTCCCTGCCCACCCAGTGGCCCCCCAAGACGGACGTGGCATCCAGTTTGCTGGCTGGACTTTATTCCAGCCCCATGCCATGGCCGGGGCGAACAGCCCAGTGAAGAGCCGAGCCCCGAGCCCACGCTGGAGGGAAGAGGAGGCTGGCTGGGAACGGGGTGAGGCCTAGGACGCTGCCAGGTCAGCCGTAGCTGGCTGGGTCCGCGTCGTCTGGCAGAAAGTAGCGCTGCAGGGAAGGCTGCAGGAGCAGGGGCGGCCGCGGGCGGGCAGGCCGGGGCCAGCCCGAGGGGAAGGGCCGCAGTTCCACCCGAGGCAGCGGCAGCTTCAGCGTCCGGATGGAGACTTCGAGGGTGCGGCCCTCCCGGTGCCGGGGCAGCATTTGGCCTGAGGCCAGTGGGGCAGTGAGGCCTCGGGTGGGGTCAGGGCCCTGGGAGACCCAGGTTGTGGAAGGCGTGGGGGTGAAGCTCGGGGTCCAATCTCTACCCGTTCCCACTCACCCCTCTCTCTCTTTGGAGACTTCCAGATCTTGGTCTCCTGCAGCCGTAGCATGGGGTCGGGCCTGGAGGGGTAAGGAGGCAGGTTGACTGAGCCCCGCCCTCAGCCGCCCCCTGCGGGTCCTGCCCTAGCTCACGCCTGGCACCCTCAGCCGCTCACAGGCGGTGGCGGGGACACGGCACCACGGCGTTGGGCCCCGGTGTTCCAGGGCTCAAGCACGGGCTCTCAGGCTCCTCCTGGTGCAGGAAGCTCGGCTGCCGTGCCCGCTGGAGCTCGCAGAAGAAGTTGAGCGCGTCGATCGGCTCCAGGTCCAGCATCTTTGACTGTGACCAGTCCGTCTGCTCCAATGGCAGTGGGTGGTTGGGCAGTGCATCTGGCGCCAAGGAAGGCAGCTGGACCTCAGGCAGGGAGGAGAAGGGCAGCAGCGTCTCGGAGAGCGTGCGGGAGGTGCGCCAGGCGTGCACTGGCGAGAGCGGCCACTGGGACTCCTGGGTGGCCGAGCCCGGCTCCCCGGGCGAGACCACCAGAGAGGGCATCCAGGAGTGGACCGAGGGCGTCACAGGGATGTGAATGGGTGCCCCGGAGACCATGGGAATCGGCAACAGGGCCTCTTTGGGGGAGGGCGAAAGCACTGACGTCTCCGAGACATTGGACAGCATCCCCGACAACTTGGCTACTGATGCCTGTGAGGTTTCGGTCTGCGGGAAAGGCAGCCAGTGAAGGACACGCCAGGTCCCAGGGAGTGGTGCTGTGCCTGGGTCCCAGCTGGACCCCAACGCAGACTCCCTCCCAGGAAGCAGCAGGAAGGTCCCAAGAGACACGGGGACCGGCTGACAGGGGACACGCAGAACTAGAGCAAGGCAAGGGGCCTAGCAGCTCAACCGGGCTCTCCCCCCTGGACTTGCGGACAGCCCCAAGAGAAGGCCAGAGGCTCCCCTGGCAGGTGGTCCACCCCTCCCCTACCCAGCCAGACCTTCAGGCAGTGGATCATTTCCTCCAGCTTCTCGCAACAGCGGCTGCGCAGCACGGCCTTGGAGTCCAGGTCGGGGCCCTGGACCCAGGTCACCATCTCACTGAAGAGGAAGCCGTCCGGGTCCTGCAGGCCTAGCCCGTCCAGAAGCTTCTTGAGCTCAGGCCTGCGACAGGCGAGGGTGGCTTACCCTGAGGCCTTCCAGCTGGCGGGCAAGCTATGCGGAGAGAGAGCGGGCCTCACCGGCAGGAGGCTGGAGAGTAGAGGGAGTAGGACAAGAGCTCCAGCACCACCTCCTGGGACTCCAAGGAGCAGGCCAACACCAGCTCCAGCGCCAGGATCACGAACTGCTTCTGCGACTTGACCTGAGCACAGGCGGGCAGAGCCTGATTGGTGAGGAGGCCGGGGCGGGGCGGGCCTGGGGGGGCGGGGCTGGGGGGCTGGAGCGGACCTGGAGGCTGGGGGGCTGGTCCAGGTTGAGCAGGTGCAGAAGGAGGTCATGCAACCTGATACAGAGGTGTCTGCTCACATCCGGAAGCAGCCTCAGCAACGCCTGCAGGATGTGCACGCGGTCCTCCCAGGAGGCCTCCTCCAGCAGGTCCATGAGCAGAGAGACCAGGCCATCCACTGTGCCCACCTCGGGGTACGCCTGTTGGGACGGCCAGCTGGGGCCCTGCCTGCGCACCGCCCCCGCCTACCAGCCTGCTTCCCGGGCATGTCCCGAACCTCCAGGGTGAAGATGGGGAACAGCTTTTTGAACCAGTTCTGGATGACAAAGAAACGCAGGAACCCGGGCAGATGCGCGTAGCGCTCTTCCAAGAGCGAGTGCTCACGGTGGTACCAGCGGGGGTGTAAGTCGGTCTCCTTCCTGGTCCTGGCAGCGCTGTCTCCGGAGTGCCTCCTGGCCAAGGACTCCCAACTCTGCGGGCAGGAAGTCGGCAGCTGCAGGGTCCGAGTCTCCATCTGCTGCTCGCACCAAAGCCCTGCCCTGGGCGCCCACCTGCGCTGATGGCTCCTCGGACCCCCGCAGCTCCTGGGAGAGCTCCGTGTCGGAGCTCAGGTAGTCCGAGGCCCAGTCCAGATCCAGCTGCTCCTCCTCTTCCTCCTCCTCCTCCTCCTCCTCTTCCTCATCCAACAAATGGGCCGGCTTCTGCCGCCAGTTGGTGTGGTACCGCCTGCCCCGCGACAGCCACAAATCATCCTGCTGGCTCCCTGCTGACTGTGGAGGGGACAAGCAAGTGGCCCGCAGCTGGCATGGCAGGCCTCAGCCCCTCCCCCGGCAGTGCCCTTCCCAGCCCCGAGGTCAAGCCCCCAGCCCCGCCCCTTGCCTTGAATGAGCCCCGGCTGAGGAGCCGGGCCTGGGCTCCTGGGCCGCTGACCTCCCTGGGCAGCCACATCTGCTGCAGCACCACGGAGTTCGGGACCCAGCCAGGGAAGTGGATGGGCCTCGGCAGGTCCTGGAGGTAGAGCACAGCACGGCGGGCTGAGAACCTGAATTCTGCCCCGTCCGAGGGACCGCCCTGGCAGGGCACCCTGGCCACCAGCCCCGCTCCCTGCCAGGTCTCCAAGAGCTGGACTGGTCCCCCGCCCGTGCCACCCACAACCCTCAGACAGGCAGAGAGCGCCTTCGGGAACCAGGGAGGCGGGCTGTCAGGGAGCCGCCAACCGTGGTACCCAAGGAAGGAAGTCTGGGCCACCCTGCCACCCCACATGCTCTCCACAGGGCTGGACCTCCAGCCCTGGACCAGGCACGTCCATAAGAAGCAGGGGGTGGGGAGACAGGAGCCTGGAGCGGGGCTGTTCGGGACTTGGGCACGCGGTGCCGCAGCTGGAGGGGTCAGGGGCCGCCTGGCCAGCAACAGCGCCGGATGTCCGCTGGGGCGGAGGTCTGTCTTGGCATCTGGGGTGGGAAGGCGGTGGGTTGCAAGGGGCCAGCTCCCATCGACTTTGGTCCCCGGAGGGGAGGGGGTTGTGTCTCCCAGACACTCACTGGGGAGGGGCATGCAGGCAGCCCCGCTGGCACGAGGCCCTGGCTTGCCCCGCGTCTGCTCCGGGAGCCCCAGGCCTCTGGCAGCCACTCCGAGTGCAAGCATCAGGGCCACAGAGCGGCAGCTTCAAAACTGGGCAGGCGGGGGGGTGGGGGGCGCTGCAGGTGGGCACGGCCCTAGGTCAGATTTGGACACAAGGGTTTGCAGCGAAGGGAAGATGGGGGACACGTGAAGGGCGACCCCTGGACGGAGTGGCCTCGAGAGGGAGACAGTGTGTGTGTGTGTCCCACCTTGTAGGGCTGAACGGTGGCAGGAAAGAAGCCGCTGAGGTTAGAGAGAAGCTCCTTGGGCCGCCTTTCCAGCAGCAGGGGCACCTGGGGGCGGGACAGAAGCTCAGAGCCCGGCAGGGAGCGGCCCCCGCAGCTCAGCCTGGGCGGCAGGGTCCCGCCTGCCGGGCCCCTCACCCTGTGCCGCAGGTGGGAAGGCGGTGGGTCTGCAGCCGCAGGCCTCTCCTGGTGGGGCTGCTGCCACCGCAGCTGCGGGTCCACACCGAGGCCCGGGGAGGGGCGGGCCAGCAGCTGGCGTGAGAGAGGGGGCGTCGCAGGGTGGCACCCGGTCCTGAGGGCAGGGCAGAGGGGCAGCAGGGCCGGCAGGCCTCACCTGTGACGCCCTGCTGGGTCCTTCCTGGCGGGTGGGTGGGGTGGGAAAGGTGACTCGGCGAGGGCGCGCAAAGGACCGGCCCCGTGCCCGCCGCTCCTGCAGGGGCAGGGCTGTTGGCGGAGTGGGGGTTTCAGTGCAGAACCCAGCCTTCCCCGAGACCGGGGGCGGCTTGGGGCAGGGCGCACACACCCCCGGCTTCTCTCTCTGCTCGGAGGGTCACGGCGCTCAGCGGCTGCCACTCGGGTCCGGAATGCATGCCCTGGACAGGGCGGCGGGAGAGACGTGGTCAGGGCTGATCGGTGGTGTCGGAGCCCGGGATGAGGGGTTGGGTCAAAGCTGGTGCTGGGGGAGGCACCCCACCCACCAGCAGGGCTGGGCCGTAGATCAGACGCAGATAGTTGTCAAAGGCCTCCTGCTGCTGCTGCCAGGAGGGCGGGCGCCGAGCTGCTGGGACCACCTGCCCCAGTCTCAGCTGCTGAAGGTCTTGGTCCCGGGCAACCAAGGCTTCCAGGTCCTGGAGTGGAGGTCAGAGGTCAGCCCATTCCTCCTGGAGCCCTGCCATGTGCTGCCTAGGTAACCACAGTGATCCCAGGCCTGCCACAGAGCGCGACGGGCTGGGGCCGGGGCCCGGGCAGTGGGCAGCGCAGGGCACCGGGGCGGCGAGGGGTCAGGGCCGGCCCTACCTCCTCCAGCACTGGCTGCTGAGGTGCTGCCGTCTGGCAACGGGTGAAGGACGAGGCTGTGCTGTGGGCAGGGACGAGCACAGGTGGGACGTGAGCACCGGGATTGGGCTGAGGCCGGGATAAGGGTCTGGGAGGGGGGCCAAGCCCCTGTCGGGGCACCAGGACAGCCAGGAGTGGGAGTGCCAGGGCTGGGACAGGCTGGAGGTGGCCCCGGGTGCCTGGGAGCCCTGGGACCTCATGCTGGGCGCATGAAGCCAGCCTCTGAGCTGGGGAGCTGGGTGGGGCCTCCGAGACAAGGCAGTGGGCCTGCCAGAGGACCTGAGACTGGCCACCCCATGCAGGCTGGCGAGCCTCTGCAGCTGGGCTGCGGTCAGTGACTCCCGGCTGGTCAGCGGCAACGGAGGGTCATCCACCACATCGGGAACCTTCTGGCACAGCTCCTGAGCAAGGAAAGCAGCCTGGAGCCCTAGCCTGGGAGGCTTGTCTGCTGCGGCAGCCCCGCCCCACACGCTGTTCCTCCTGCACACCTTAAGTAGGTAGGATGTGGGCAGGTAGAGCCTGTGGGATACCAGGCAAAGGCGGGAGCCCAGGGCCAGCACCAGGTCCCCGCTGTTGCTGCAGAAGGTCAGGGCCTGAGGGGCTCCATTCAGCTGCAGGAGCCTGGAGGGGTGCCCAGGGCAAGAGTCGAGCCGTGCTCCGCAGGGCAGGAGATAGAGGCAGCAGGATGGGCGAGGCCCTCTGCTGCTCAGCTGCGGGGCTCTGCTGGGGCCCGAGGCGGGGAGCCCAGCGGCAGACCCCGGGCCCCTGGCCTGGTCCCCGCCCCCTCTCCCTCGGGGCCCCAGCCCACCGCAGCAGGCGGTTGTCTGCAGTCCAGATTTGGATGGTGCGGTCCAGGCTGGAGGAGGCATACAGCTTGAGCGTGGGGCAGCAGCACAAGCCTAGGGCCGGGGCGCGGGGTCAGGAACCAGAGCCAGGCGGTGGCCTGGGCCTCACCTTTGCCCTGCCCCCTCACCAGTGATGTGGTCCACGGGGTCGTCCTGGGGCCGGTGGTCATAGCGCTCGCTGTTTTCCAGGTCAAACTGCACCAGACCGTAAGTGGCACTGTCTGGGTCCTCAAAGGCCACGGTGACACGCTTCCCCAGCGCACAGAGCGCCCGGGCAGGGTGGCAGCAGGAGAAGGTGTGCAGCAGGCTCAGGCTCTCCTCGGCGTAGGGGAAGACACGCCACACCTTCACGGTCAGGTCTCCGCCTGCCGGGTGGGAGCCAGGGCTGGCCTTCGGCGCGGCAGGGAAGGGGTCCCCCCGCAGGCTGTCGGGGAGGGTGGGAGGTACCGACCCGAGGACACAATGCTGTTCCAGGTAGATGCAATGGCGATGACTGGCTCGTGGCCGTGCGCCTGCGTGTGGAAGACAGGCCTCCATGTGCACCACTCCAGCACTGACAGGCTGCCGTCTGTGTGTCCCACCACCGGCAGGTACCTACGGGTGACAGCAGCCTGTTGGCGTGGTCTGTGTAGGCCCCCGCTCAGCCCTCACTGGCTCTGACACCTACCGGTTCTTGTCCTTCCAGGCCTGGGTGTCGCTGCGGCGCAGTTCGCCCCCGTGCTTGCGCACGATCTCCCAGCTGGCAAACGCACTGCCGGGGTCTGTGAGGTGGCTGTAGAGGTGCAGGCAGCAGGGCCTGGGCGCTGGGGGCGGTGGCGGGCACGCGCGGTACAACTCGCACATGGGGTGGCGCGCCGCGGTGGCGCACACCAGGTCCCCGGCGCGGTTTAGCAGCCACAGCGTTTCGCGCGGCAAGCAGTAAGCTACGGCGGCCGCGCAGTCCTCGGGCTCGAGCAGCAGCGCGCTCACGGTAAGCCCCGTAGCAACGGACACCAGGTAGACGGAACCGTCAGTGCATGCGCACACGAGGCGCGCGGGCAGAGGCGGGTGCGGGGGCAAGGGCAGCGCCGGCGCCACCTGCAGGTGGAGCACTGGCGCGGACAGCTGGGCCAAGGGCGAGTAGAGCTCGCGCAGGCGCCACAGCTCCACGCTGCCCGCACGCAAGGAGAGCACCGGCCAGCTGGGGCCCGCGGGCGCCAGGAGGCGGTCCACGCCCTCTGACCTCATATCCTGACCCCAGTAGCGCAGCGTCACTTCGCCCACCTGTGCCACCGCCTGCAGGTCCCACGTGCGAAGCGTCCCGTCCTGTGAGGCCGACAGCACGAGGGATGTGTTTGGGAGCACAGCCAGAGCGGTCACCGGGCCTGCGGGAGGGGTGCAGGTCACTGGGGTACACGGGGGACGAAGGGGAGGGAAGCCCTTGGCGCGGGTTCCGACCAGCACAGAGAAGCGTGGCCAGAGCGGGCGGGAATTCTGCGCAGCCCAGAGCTCTTTGGGGCGGAGAGAGAAGGGGCCTCCAAAGCCGCCGGGGTGGGGTGCACCTGTGTGGGCCACAAACACCATCCGGATCTGCCAGTCGGCCTCCCACACCTTCACGGTGCTGTCCTGGGAAGCTGTCACCACGGCCTCTACCTCTCCGCAGTACGCTACGTCCGAGATGGTGCTGGGGGAAGGCCAAGCTGACTCAGTGTCATGCCAGTGAGCAAGCCCGCACCGCGGCCGCCATGGCCTTCCCACGCAGACTCGTCCCTGGGCCCCCTTACGTTTTGTGCAGATCCCGGCTCACACCTACGATAGCCCAGGTGTGCAGATCAAAGGTGAGTACGGCCGAGCCGTAGGCTGCGAAGCAGCGTGGAGGCTGGTGGGGAGGCAGGGGCCCCAGAGCCAGGCGAGAGAGCACGTGGGTGGAGCTTGGCGCGTGGGTGGAGCTTGGCGCGGGCTGTAGAGGTGACCCACTGGGAGCCAGACGGCGACCACCTAAACGGAACTTCCAGAGCGCCAGGCTGCCGCCCGCCTCCGCTACTAGCAGCAGCCCCAACTCGGGCACTGGCAGGCAGCAGACGGGCTCGCGGTGGGGCGCCCGATGCGCCCCTGGCTCGCTCAGCCACAGCACGCTGAGGTCTGGCCTCAGTATGGCCAGCCCTGCGGGGCCCCAGCCCACAAAGCGGCCCACAGAGCCCAGCGGGCCCGGCACTGCCACCAGCCCCCTGAGGGCAACGGGGACCAGCAGCTTCTCCTGAGCCCAGCCGTCCTCTCTGTGCAGGTGCAGGCGGCCTGCGCCGTCCAGCACCACGAATCGTCTACCCACCGGGTCCTGCGCCACCGAGCACAGCCCGGCTGCCACCTCCAGGCGGCGCAGTGGCTCCAGTCCGTGCGTCAAGCGAGCCACACGCAACTCGGATCTCTTTTCCTGCGGGCCGGGTGGGCAGGCCCGCGGTCACCTTGGGGGAACCGAGAAGAGGCCGTGCACCCGCCTGGGGGAGCCAAGAGGATCGGCTGGGATCCTGACAGGGACCCCTAGGGGAAGGGCTGGGCAGGAAAGAGGCCTCCAGGCAGGTGCCATGGGCCAGTCGCACCTTTTCCACAAAGCTGTGGAGGCTTGCGCGCAGGAGCAGCCACAGCTGGCGAGCACGGGTGGTTGGGGTCATATTGAGACACCGGGTAAAAAGCTGCGAGACCCGCTCCGAGGTTGATGGCTCTGCGGGCCGGTGCGGGGAGCGCTGTCACCGTGTGGCCTTGGGACCCCGCCCCTGGAGCTTGTGCGCAGCCAGGGGCCTTCTGGAGGGTCCGGCGGGTTCGGGGACTGCCTGCGGGGTGCTGCACTCCTGGCGGGAAGCGCCCGCGCCTGAGTGAGGGCTGCTTTTAGGCGGGTCATCCTGAGGGTGAGGCCGGGCCACCTCACCGTTCTTTCCCTTGAGCAGCCCAGGGTCTGGGATGTCATGGCTGTCAGCGTCATACAGGTCTGGGTCCAGAGTGGGGTTGTCGCCTTTCAGTGAAAAGGGGTCGCTTGTATCCAGCACATCCATCTCCATTTTGCAGCTGCTCCTCCGGGCGGCTTAACAGCTTCTTCCGGCTGTTGCTAGGATACCAGCGGACACAGGCCCCGCCCCCAAACCAGGCCCCGCCCCCAAGCCAAAGAGAGACCAGGGCCACAGTCAGTCACATAAACTTTTATTGGAAACAAACAAGCTGCAGCAAAGTGGCACTCAGTGCACGCCGCCCAGTGGGCGAGGCGGGGAGCACAGGCGGGCTCCCAGCGCCGGCCCAGGCCCAGGCCCGAGGACCGCTGGGGCTGCTCGCTGGGTCTCGGGCCCTTTGGGCTGGAGTGTGCAGGCTAATGCCCGACCCCATACAAAATACAAAAATAAACTCTGTGGTCCAGCTGTCCCTGCCTGTGTCAGTTCGTGTGGGCAGGGCAGTGGCTGTTCCCACCAGGCCTTGTGCTGTCTGTCCAGCCCAGCCACAATGTGGGCAGCAGGGCCTGTGGGGTAAGTGGCCATCCACGGGCTGGAGCCAAAGGGCGAGGTGGGCAGCGCTGGAGCTGTGGCAGTGCCGGGGTCTGGCCAGCAGCTGGGGAGGCCTGGGGGCCCTCAGGTGGGCAGGCCCGGGCACTGGCTGAAGCTGGATGAAGCTGAGGCCTCTGCTCCTCTTCTTCACATACAGATCACCGGGACCCTAGGCAGAGGGGGACACACAGCCAGCCTTGAGGAGCTAACACTGAGGAGGCCGGGCAGAGGGGCCCCACCCTGTCCTGCCCACCCCAAGCTCCGGGAAGCCAGGCCACCGCCGCCATCCCCTACCTGTCCTCCATGGGGCTGGTCTCCTCGGGTCCGCCCTCACTGCCTCCACCTCGGAGTTCCTCCTCCTCCTCCTCCTCCCCCAGCTCCATGTCCAACTCATTGCCCACCTCCGAGGGCGTGTACGTGGATCCACTGGGGGAGTTGGGGAATCGGTCTTAGGACTGCCCACCCTGGCCTGCTGCTGACCCCAGGAAGGATGTCCAGGGAAGACAAGGCCAGAAGCAGGGTGGGCCAAACAGGGAGCTACAGGAAGGGACAGTCGCCAACCTGATGGAGCGGCAGCTGAAGAAAACAATCCGCTTAAGCCGCTTGTTGTAGAAGAAGTAGTTAAAGGACCAGAGGCTGCCGTCTTCCCCAAAGGGGTCTGAGTCCAAGTCCGGGTTGTAGCTGGGTAGTGAGGGGCGAGATCGGTGTGTGATCCCAAGTGCCACCCACACCCAGCACCCACCTGCAGGGCCGCCAGCCCACCTGTAGATGTCACATTCAGCCAAGCAGATCTCTTCATCCACTGCGTCCCAGAGCTGTGGCTTCAGGGCCTTGAAGTCCTCCCGCACGGCCGAGAACAGACTGCAGTTGACTGCATTCACCACCTAGGATGGTCACAGCTCGGGCTGACTAGGTACCAGGAGAGCAGGCATGGACTGGGGGGAGCCCAGGGGTCACTGGAAATGGGGGGGGACAGTGGGGATAGCTGTGGGCTGCAGGTCCCTCCCCCCACCCATCCCTCACCCAGCTGAGGCTGGGCTCCCGGCTGAACTCGTGGCTTCGGGCCGTGCTGAAGTCATAGTCAGGGCGGAAAGACTCGTTGAGTGTGGCGATCAGGTAGAAGAGGGTCTTGCGGCTGCACTTGTCGCTGAGGGGGCCCTCGTCCTCGCCACCTTGGCTCTTGCTCAGTCTGCACAGAGAAGCATCAGCCCAGTACTGCCCCTGCACCCGCCAGCACCCAGTGGGCAGGCCCTGCCCTGGCTCACCTGCTGGGGCTGAGGCCTGAGGTCTGGGGTGGGGATAGTGCCTCTAGCACATGCGGTTGGCCCTCCTGGCAGAACTGCTTGAACATGTGTTTGTCATCTCCCGCCATCTTGCACGAGTAGCTTTCAATCCTGCAGGATGCAGGGGCGGGGGACGGGGGACGGACCTTGGAGCATGCCTCTCTCAAATTCGACTCAGGGCCAGGGCAGAGTGACCCGAGACACCAGCTCACGGAGCGCCACCCTCACCTGCCGATGATGTGGGCGTCTCCAGTCTCCACAGTTAACTGTGAGTTGATGGCCTCGAAGCTGGAGTTCTCCAACAGCTTCATGTCCTGTGCTGCAAGGGGCTAGTGCTGCCTGGGGACAGGAGGCCAGTCCATGGGTATCTGGCCCCAGGCCCTCCACCTTTGGCCCTCCTCTCCCATAACTGGAGCCGAAGCAAACATGCTGGGTCCCTCCCACAGCATGCTCCCAGTCTCTGAGTACTGCCGGCAGGGGCAATGAAATCCTGTTACCTGACAGTGGTAAGTCCAGGCCCCGCTCAGCCACACCCCATGCACCTCATTCGAGTTCTGGGGCCAGGCTGAGAGCCCACAAGGGATCCTGCTCACCCAGGGGGGCTGCTGGTTTAGTCTCTCTCAACACCCTATTCCGACAAAAGAGCCCGCGAAGGGACTTGACACCAGGAGTCCCCCTCCGGCCTGACTTCTCAGCCAGGGTAAGAACCCCACCTGGTCAGGAACACCTGGGGCTCTGGCTTGCAGACACCGGGACGAGGCGCTCTTCCCTGCTCTACGGACTGCTTTCTAGCGAGGAAAGGAAACTTGTGTGCTCCTCCGTTCTTCTCCAAAAGTGTGCCTGGTTTCTGCGAGGCCCCCCAGCACCCGAATGGCCTGTCCTCACGCCGCTGGGGCGCTCCAGCTCCCGCCCCGCAGCGCTCGGCACCTCCCGACCCGGGCCTAGCGGAACCTCAGCCAAGCCTGGGCAAACTACAAATCCCAGGAGGCCGTGCGCACGCGCCTGCGCGCGGCAGCTGGGGGGGGTTGTAGTTCTAGAAGCCCCTAGACAGCGCCCGGCACAGGGCGGACACCTACCTGCTTGCGCTGTGCTCTCTCTGACCGGGCAGGGCCAGGCCGGGTCGGGTCGGTTGGTGTCGGTGCGGGAGAAAAGGCGGCGAGGGCTCTGGGCAACGCGGGGTCCTCAGGACCGGAGGGCGGCGCCGCGGCCTCCGCTTGGGCCGCACTGTATCCGGGGGAAGAAGCTCCGCGGCGACATCCCGTTACTCCCGGCCTTGCCGGCCCATCCGGGTTGCCACTGCGACATAGCCTCGCCCCCGCACGGCGCCCGACTGCCGCGACCGACCTGCCCGCCGACCGCCACCAGTATCCCCAGCTAGCGAGCGAGCAAGCGACCGACCTCTGCCTCCCCTGGCCGGACAACAACAAGCGCCCGCAAGGCCCGGCCCCACGTCTCTGAATGGCCGGCTCCAGCCGTCGCGATCGAGAACTCGGAGGGCCATTGGGAACGTTACCCGCCGCTCAGTCCTGGCTTCCACACCTACTGGCTGCAGCGCCTGTCCGTCACTCTTCTCGCCTTCCGAACCCGTCTTCCTTCCTGGCGCTCATTGGTTCCGGCCCCTCGACTGCTCCGCCCCCGGTGGCCGCCCGGGTACACGGGAGGGGCCGGTAGACCTTGCTGCGTGTTTTGGAGCGCGCTACCCGGCGGGTGGCTTATCGGCAACCAGAAGGGTCTTGGGAGCGGCGTCCAGCTCTCGCCAGGCCCGCGGGTAAATACAGACCGTCGGGCTGTAGCCCCCGCCCGCCCAAATCTCTAGGGCGAAGGGACCGCGCCTGCCTTCTAATCTTGGCTGTCACTTCCGCGCCCGACACTTTCCTCCGGCGTACTAGCCTCCAGGCCCGCCCTCGCCCGCCCGTGTCCAGAGACCCTTGGACCGTGTATATCCTGGACAAAGCCGGAGGGTCAGATTCGCCAACCGACTCCCCCGCCCCCGGGCTCCGACGTCCTGGCTGCGCCCGGAACCCCAGGCCCGCGGCCTCCGTTTCCGGCCGGCTCAGGCGCTCTGCGGCCCCAGCCCACGGAAGCAGACTCGGAGGGCCGAGAAACGGCCGGACTGGAGATGGCGCCGCCGGCGGGCGGAGCGGTGGCGTCCTCGAACCCGGGCTCGGCAGCGGTGCTGCTCGCTGTGCACGCCACTGTGCGTCCGCTGGCAGCGGGGCCGGACGCCGAGGCGCAGCTGCGGAGGCTGCAGCTGAGCGCGGACCCCGAGCGGCCCGGGCGCTTCCGGCTGGAACTGCTAGGCGCGGGTCCCGGGGCGGTGAGTGGGAGCGTCGTGGGCGCGTGGCCAGGCGGCCTGGGCGGGTCGCGGAGCCCGAGGCCAGGGCCCTCCACTTGCCCGCTGAGTTCCCTGTAGCAGGTCACTTTCCTTGTTTCTGTTTCTTCGTCTATAAATGGGGTTAACGTTGGTACTTTTATAGGACTACTATGAGGGTTTCATAAGACAATGAGTCTTAAAAGAGCGTAGGACAGTGTAACTGGCCTATTAATGTTACCTCATATGCTTTTGATCATCGTACAGTATGTGCTGGCGGGAGGCATGAGCCTGGACTCTCCCTGTTCTCAGGTCAGTTTGGAGTGGCCCTTGGAGACAGTCTCCTACACCGTCCGAGGTCCCAGCCAGCATGAGCTGCAGCCTCCACCAGGGGGGCCTGGGACCCTCAGCCTGCACTTCCCCAACCCTCTGGACGCTCAGCGGTGGGCAGCCCTGGTCCGAGGTGCCACCGTGGAGGGACAGAATGGTCAGTGCCCTGGAGCAAAGATTCATTTGGTTGGCCAGGGATTGTGCTGGGGGACAGCAGGAGTAGCCCTGGCCTCCCAGGCCTGGGTGGGGGATGTAGTGGGGAAAGACAGGCCCACCTTACCTGCTGCTGGCGGTCTGGGAAGGCTCCCAGAAGAAAGTGGAGAAAAGGAACAGGCCATGAGCTAGAGTCTGGAGTACCAGGCAAGTGTGAAGGGGCAGAGCAAGCAGGCCCTGTGGACCTGGATGAGAAGACACCATATGAAGAGCAATGGGGGAGAGACAGGCTCAGATTTGAGCTCTTGAAGATTGGTTGAGACCTGCGTCTGTAGAGTGCAGTGCAAATAGAGCTGGATAGAAGGACATTTGCAGAGATGCTCAGGAGATGATGGGATTGGTTGGACTTTGTGGCTGTTTAAATTGAAGAGTTAGTGGTTGAGATGGGAAGATGGGGCACCAAATACGCTTGGGCTCCCAGAGAGAGGGCCTGTGTGGGAGGGCGTGGAGGTGGCCCACTTCTTATTCTTCCGGGGGGAGTGGGAGCAGATGGGTCTGGGCTGGAGCTGGGGCTCCAGAAGGTAAAGACTGGGGGTAGGAAAGGTTAACCAAGGTCAGGAGGAGAGAAGAGGGTCAGGGAGGCAGACGGTGCCTCAGGGAAAGAGCCCACGGATGTGTCACAGGAGCTGCCAGAGGGGCAGGAAGAAAACCATGCCAGGGAGTGGACGGGAGGCCCAGACAAGGCAACACTTGTGGAGGAAGAACGGCTTTCCTCCCTCCCTCCCTCCCTCCCTCGCTCACTCGCTCACCCGGCAAACTGTGTCACTCTGGACTAAGCACTCCTTCAGGCCTTGGAGGTTTAGCATGAATAAAACTTCAGACAGCCCTCTGGGAGCTTGCAGATCTAGAGGTGTGGCAGGCACAGAAGACGCGTAAATAAAGTTCTGCCAAATGGTGGAAGTGATAAGAGTGCTGGGAGGGAGGCCATGCTGGGCGTAAGGCGACACCGGAGTGGAATTTGAAGGTTGAGGTGTCACCATGTGGCTGGAGAGCGGTGCATTCACAGCCTGGAGGCAAGAGCAAGAGCCAGGCTGGGCCTGGCCTGGGGCCGATGGCTCAATTCTGAGAGCCCCAGCTGCGTCCGCCCTGGGTGGGCTGGGCCTGCAGTGAGAGGGAAGGCGGGGGAGACAGCGCGGCCAGCTCTGTAAGGACGCCCAGGGCCGACAGTGGCCCCAGGAGGGGTGGTTTGGAATGGGAGCAGCCTGAGGAATTCTGTACTGGTGGTAGTGGGAGACGGGGCAGCGGTCCCTGAGGGCACCAAGAAGAGGCCACGCTGACCGCAGGGATCCTGAGCACCCGCTGTGAGGTCAACAGAACAAGTGTCCCTGGCTGGCTGACGGCCTGTGGAGGCCAAGAGAAGTGGCCTGGCCTCTGGAGGAGGTGCAGAGGTGGGACCAGATGGCAGAGGACCTGGAGACTGCAGAGTGCAAGTGCAACTCCAGCTCTGAGAGGAGTCTGCAGGGACGGACCCATTGGCCCTTCTAAGGCCAAGGCTTGGGGGAAGACCTGGCTGGAAGTGTGGCCAAGGCAGGGCACCGGCATGGGCTGAGGTGAGGAGGGAGGTGGCAAAGGTCCTGGAAAGCGGAGGTCAGAGAGCAGAGGCCTAGATGAGTACTCGGCTGGGGGGCTGGATCTGGGGAGACCACCAGCCCACCCCACATCTTCCCTCCTAGGCAGCGACAGCCTGCCTCCAGCCCTGGGCCCAGAACCATGCCCTGCTTCCCCCTCCGGGCCCTCTGAGGTGCACTCACCCAAGGCCTCCCAGCCCAAGATGGATGTTTCCTCGAGTCCCGGAAACTTGATGGAGAAAGGTAAAGGCAGGCGGCTAGCGGGGTTTGGGGCAATTAGCCATGCCCAGCTGTGACGGTGTGTTCTCTTTCCTTGCAGAAGAGCTGGCAGGGCGCCTGGCCCGGGCCATTGAGGGTGGGGATGAGAAGGGGGCAGCCCAAGCAGCAGCCATGCTGGCCCAGCACCATGTGGCCCTCAGTGTCCAGCTCCAGGAGAGCTGCTTCCCTCCCGGCCCCATCAAGTGAGACCTGGGACTTTGTCCTGACCCCACCCTAACCCAACCTTCCTGGGCACCCCTTCACTCCCCCAACCTGCATTCTGGCCCAGGCTGCAGGTCACAGTTGAAGACGCCGCCTCCTCTGCCCACATCTCGCTGCAAGTCTACCCCCACTGCACCATCTCCTCCCTTCAGGAGCAGGTGAGTACAGGTCTGGGGAGCCCTGCTGGGGGCAGGGATCCTGGGTGACTGCTGAGCCCTGATGCTCCGGCTCCAGGTGTTCTCGGAGTTTGGCTTCCCGCCAGCGGTGCAGCGCTGGGTCATCGGGAAGTGCCTGTGTGTGCCGGAGCGCAGCCTGGCTTCCTACGGGGTCCGGCAGGACCGGGACCCCGCTTTCCTCTACCTGCTCTCAGCCCCTCGAGAAGCTCCAGGTCAGTCCTCGACTGCGGTGGGATGAGGACGGCAGGGCGCGGCCTGACTCCGCCCTGAGCTCCCCTGCCTCTACCGTAGGGCGCAGCCCGCAGCACCCCCAGAAGATGGATGGGGGGCTAGGCCGCCGCCTGTTTCCTCAGTCACTGGGGCTGCCCCGAGCCCCGCAGCCAGCCAGCTCCAGCCTGCCCAGCCCCCTTCAGGTAGGCAGGGGCCCAGGCAAGGTGGGCTGGGCAGCTGCGGGCAGGGGAAGGAAGGGGTAAGCAATAACTGTGCCCCCTCTCCAGTCTGGCTGGCCCTGCCCTTCCTGCACCTTCATCAACGTCCCGAGCCGGCCTGGCTGTGAGATGTGTAGCACTCAGAGGCCCTGCGCTTGGGACCCCCTTCCTGCAGCCTCCACCCAGCAGTCACTAATGGTACTGGAGGCAGGGGAGGGCTGGGGAGGGGAGGGAAGGGGTTAGGGAGGGTGGCAGAACAGCCAAATGAACCACCTTCCCCCTGTCCCAGGTCACAAGGGGAGAGGATGGCCCTTCACTTCCAGGCCCGAGGTCCCTGGACACCCTCCTGAACCTCTCAGGGGACCTCCGCTGACTGCTCCTTGGGGGCAGAGCCAGAGTCATTAAAGACACTTTTTGAGCCAGCCGAGTGCCCGCTTTGTGCGAACTGGGCTGCTGGGAGGAGGGGGCGCGGGTTGCAGCCCCACCCAGGCCACTTGGCAGAGGGGGCGGCCTGTCCCTCGGCGGGCAGGGCTCCCCGGCGCAGTCCAGGCGGCTACGGGAGGGCTCACTTGGATCCCAGGTCCCAGGGGTACTAGGGAATTGGGCTGGCATTTCTTCCCATATCTCAAGGGCTTACAGAGCCCCCACCCTGGCTGCTGACCACTGGGCTAGGGGCCTCTGTAAGCCCCACCCCCAGCTGGTCATGCCTCCCCTCATCTGCCTAGAGCTCTGCAGGCATGCACCCTCTTCCTTCCTTCCACTCAGCTCCCTGCCCTCCACGTTGGCCACCTTCCCCGCTTCAGGGCCGCTCCAGCCAGGAGGTCTTACGCCCCCTTCTTGGGAAAAGAAAAGCTCAGAAGCTAAGAGCCTTAAGTCAGGGCTCTGGGCTCCCACTCAGGCACCGTGTCCCTGTGCTCAGCCTGGCTGCCTGCAGTGCCAGCAGGCACGATCGCATGACCAGCACCCAGATGCCCCTTCGCTACCCTGCCTCCCTCCAGTGTGACCCTTCTCAGCGGACCCCTCCATCTGTCCGGCCAAGACCAGCGGCATGTGCCAGGTGGTCTCTGCTTAGCTCTGCTGCAGCAGGGCCGGGGTCTCCCTCTCCCAAACCCAGCCCCAAACAGCGCTGCGGTTCCTACTTGAGGCCTGGCCTCCCCTGTTGGAATGCTGCCTGGGGCTCCCTCCCCGCTGCCCTCAGGAGGCAGCCACGCAGTTCGAGGCCGTGACATTTGGCCGGCTGCTCTGGCAGATCCCTGGGTTGTGCCCAGCCTGGCCCTCTTGGCCTGTGATGGAGCCCTGCTCATTCCAAGTGTAACAGCGTTCGGCTTCCCTACATCCAGAACTGGGTGGATCCAGCCAGTGGTCAGTGCGGGGCAACGCTGGCCACACTGGATGGGACATCCCTGGGAGCTCTGAGGGCGAATGTCTCAGTGTCCCCTGGAAACTGCACTCCCATAAAACAATAGCTCAAACGTGTACACTGAGAAACTTAATTTATTTCCATGATAATTGAGGCTGGAGAATCGAGCTCAAGCTCGGTCTCCTGCCCCCTCTCCTCCTGTCCCTGAGGAAGAGGGGCTTCGCCAAGAGGGCCGGCTGCGGCCTGAAGAGGCCCAGGTGGCGCCTTGGCTCAAGGGCCCGTTCAAGCAGGACGGCAAGCAGACACTAGGCAGGGTCACTTGGGTGGCCGATAAGCCAGCTTCCGGCTCTTCAGGACTGACCACTTATGCCGCTTCATGGCGTAAAACAGGGGCAACAGCAAGCCCATCATCATCAACATCTGGGGGTGAGGGAGGCTCAGCAGGGAGGCGGGCAGGAGCCCCCCCAGGCTCCCAGCCCCTCCTGCACCCGCACCCGCACCCGCACCCACGGGGCCCCTCGCCCAGCCCTTTCACCTTGAGCCCCATGCGTTTGCGATGGTCGTGCTCTGGCTCTGATGCCCAGCGCAGGAAGGTACACACGTCCTTGGCTACCTGGGACATGGTGGCTGGGGTGCCTAGGCCAAGGGCAAGTGAAGAAGGCTGCTGTCAGGGTCCCTGCCCGACCCGGGGGAACCCTCAGAGCCTCCCCTCCACAGTAGATGGGTTCCTGCCCAAGGCTTCGGAAGGGATGGGACCCCGTCGGCACACCCCGAGCCGGACTGGGCTGTGAAGGCCGACCAGGAACCTGTTCAGACACAGCACCCCAACCAAGGAGAGCCCGGGGAAGCATCTGAGGCGGGGGGCGGGGAGCAGGGCCCACCGTGACCACCCCCGGGGGGAGCCTCACCATCATCAAACTCCAAGACCTCGTCGTAGATAGGAGGGGCCATGGCAATGGCCTGGCCAGGGAAGTAGGGGTTGAAGTAGAGGCCTTCCCGTAGAGACACGCCGGTGGGCGGCTCACAGTAGCCCGTGAGCAGGGAGAAGACGTAGTCCTCACCACCGTGCCTGGAACCAGATCCGCGCCGCCTCAGGCCCTGGTGTGGGTTGGACCTTCCTCCCGTCCCGCCACGCCCTGCAGGAAGCCCGCGTACCTAGCTCGCACGATGTAGCTGAGGTCAGGGGGCAGTGCTCCGTTGTTGGCTGCTCTGGCGGCCTCAGGGTTGGGGTAAGGTTTGGGGAAGTAGTCAGACAGCTTTCCTGGTCGCATGAACATCTCCCCATCCTCATTGGGGCCGTCCTGAACTTCCACCTGCCACCGAGAGCAGCATCACAACCCTGGTTTCTGGCCTCCGCAGTGGAAGCCCCAACCCCGGTCCTCGGCAGCGTCCCCAGGCCGCGCACCTCTTCAGCCAGGGCCTTGGCTTCCCCCTCAGTGTAGCACACGCCCACCAGGTGGCGGTAGGCCACGTAGTCCATGCTGTGGCAGGAGGAGCACACCTGCTTATACACCTGGAAACCCCTCCGGACGCTGATGGAGAGAGGGAAAGGGTCAGAGGCGCCAGGGCTCCCACCCCACCCAGTCCACCCCGAAACTCCCCCGGCCAACCAGCCGCACACCTGGAGTGGTCCAGGGAAGAGAGGAGGCCGCGGTGGGACCACGGATAGCTGGGGGGATGCAGCTCGAGGTCGGTGGCACTCACGGCGGAATGCAGAGCCACAGCCAGGCCTGCACCCCCTGCCGCCAGCATGCCCAGCGCTGACAGCATCACTTTCCGGCCCCGGGACATGCCGGACTGCGACGACAAGGACACTGCCTGCAAGAGCCCCGCTCAGCGCCTGCCAGAACACCACCCGGCCCTACCTGGGGATCTGACGGGGGGCCCACCTTTCCCACGCATCACCCAGCACTGGCCACCTCCCGCGGGCCGCCCAAAGCACGCTCGGCGCCACTGCCCGCCCCACCCCTCCCCGCCGCGGACCCCGCGACCGTGAGTCGGCCCTGAGGGCAGGGTGTGAGGCGCGTTCTCGGATCCTGGGCCGGGGATCACGCCGAGGTGAGCAAGGGTGCTGGGGCAGGCCAAGGTCATGCAGCTGGCCGAGGTCAGGCTGAGGTCACTTCAGGACGCGGGCCCAGGCCGGAGCGGGAGTAGGCTCGGAAGCGCCCCGCCGAGAAAGCCCTCAGCCCCGACCCGGCAGCGAGCCCGCCCCGCCGCCCTCACGACCGGCACGAGGCGCCAGGGATGCTCCCAGGGTGGGCGGCCGGCCCCGCCCCCCGGAGGCACCAGGTCGGCAGGCAGCGGAGACCCGGCAGGGGCGCCGGGTGGCCGAGGTCTCTCTCCCGCCGGCTGGCCCGCGCCCGGAGCCTCCCCGCCGTGACCTTCACGGGCTGCGGGGCCGCGCGGCGGCCGGGGACGGGCCGGCGCTCACCTGAGGCGTCCGCAGCGGGAGCTGCCCGGGCCGCGCGCCGCACAGCAGACCCCGGGCACGCGCGCCGGGCAGCCCCGCGGCCCGAGGGCCGAGCACTGCCCCGCGAAACGAAGCCGCCGCAGCCGCCATCTTGGCCCTCTTCAGCGCGGCCGCCGTTCCCGTCGGCCCCCGCGGCGCCCCTGGCGCTTAAAGATCGCGAGATCCCTGGGCGCGGGGCGGGGCAGCGCCTCGGGGCGCTGCTTCGGGCGTCTTGGGAACTAGCGGTGGGGCTGTCCCCGTCGCGTCTCCCTGTTGCCGTGACAACGGCCACTTACCGCGGCTTTCCCGAGCCGGCTGCTGGTGTCCGGGGCTCCGTGGAGATGCGCCCCCGTGCCCGGACGACTGGTCCAGCAGGTCCTGCAGACCTGGCGCGGTGGGCAGCGGATCCTGCACCTCCAGGTTGAGGGTAGAAAGCCGCCCAGCGGGGCAGGGTGGGGCCTCTCGCTGCCCCGGCCTGCCCGCACTCCCGCTCGGCCGCGGCGGGCCCCTCACCGCCGCCCGGCCCACGCGAACTCTGCTCCCCCGCCTCCGAGGGACAGGGATTATCGGGCACAAGTTCGGTCCGGAAGCCGTCCGCCACCGCAGCCAGGAGCACGGCAGCCAAGGCTCCGCAGGAAGCCTTGTACGCTCAGTCCGCAGTGAAGGTGAGCAGTCTTTAAGGACCTCGGAAAACCTCCTTCCCCCCTCCCCTCGCATAAGAGTGAGGGAAAAACTAGCAGTAATTGTCAGAGTCAGCTTTTTCAGAATTCTGGATATTCATCAAAGGTAACGTTGACCTTAAGAATAAAGCACCCATTTTTTCCAGAAAACAAAAAAAGTGAGCTTATTCGAGAATAGTAGGGAGTTGTAACTCGGGACAAGCATGCGCTAACAAGAGCTAGAGGCAAGTCCCGGGAACGAAGGGAGGCCCTCCATAGAGCGAAAGGTGAAAGCTGGAAGGGGCAGCTTTGAAAGAGCCCGGGAAGGAACCCGAGAGGTCAGGGTGAAGGCTTCTCACTGGCTGAATTCATGGAAGTTGAAGGCCACACTATCCATTAACAGCTAAAAAAAGGAAAAAGAAAAAGCACAAACAAGGAAACAACCCAAATGTCCATCCCTTGATGAACGGGCAGACAAAATGTGTGGCAGGTCTGTACAATGGACTGTCCCGCCGTAGAGAAGCAGCCCGGACGCTTCGGCAACAGGGTGAACCTGGAGAGCGCGGTGCGGAGCGAGGGAAGCCAGTCGCAGCAGACGCCCTGCTGCCCGAGCCGCTGACTGAGTCCAGAGCAGAGGAAGCGATGGAGGCAGACAGGGGATTCACGCGGCAGGGGCGAGGGGCCTGCGGCATGGGAGGTGGCGGTTAGGTTGGGACACAAATACTCCGAGGTGACTCTGGCACCTCCAGGAGGTGAAGACAAGGGTGGGGCTTCAGAAGGGGGTGCAGGGTGGGGGACAGGAGCTGCCTGTGGGCACGAAGACGGCTGGAGTCTGTGGGAGCAGGTCACAGGTCACATCGCCCCGAGCAGCCCTGAGGTCCTGACGTGAAGCCCCAGGTAGAGTGGGGGACTTGGCAAAGGGTCTCAGAGGGCACAGGGGACCCCTGGGACACCCAGGGCAGTTGCCGGGGGCACCTCAAGCCCAAGGTGGGCATCTGTGTACAGCCTGGTAGTTGAGAGGGGTTTGGGAGTTGAGAAGCGGGGAGGGGGCGGGGCGGGAATGTTCCCCCGCCTCTGCCTCGGCTCCCGGGGCCCATACCCCCATCACAAGCCGGAAGCGGACCTCCGGCCCTGCTGGAAGGTCTCCCCGACCCCGGAGCTTCCTTCTGACCTCCATGACTGCACTCACCGGGATCTGATTCTTTCCTTCAACACATACATACGAATACTCTGCGGGGTCCCTGGTTCTGGGCTGGTAAAGTGGCAGGAAATAAGAAAGTGCTACTTCTACATCTGTTCAGCTGGCACCACCTGAGGGTTCAGCAGTAACCCCTCTTGTACTGGTTGGAAGTAGATTGGAGTGTCAGAAAACTCCAAATAGCGTTGGCTGAAACCAGATGAAGGCTTCTCTCTCGTCTGTGACGCCCAGGTGAGCAACCCGGGGCCGCCCCGGGGCCTCTGCCCCTGGCTGTGGGCTGTCCCTCAGGTCCCAAGCATCGCTCGCACATCCCCACGGGCGGGAGAGAGGGGGGCTGCGAGGCCTCGGAGGTTGCCCTCGAAGCTTCTGCTCGTTTCCTGTCAGCCTTCGTGTAGCCCCGTGGTCACGCCAGGCTGTGGGACAGCCGGGGAGTGTCCTTATTTGGGGGTGGACTGAGTTCCTGTCAAAAGCGGGGCTCTGTGACTAGGGACTGATATTGGGGGAGAAGTCGCTATTCGGCCACACATCTTCAAAGGAAAGTTTAGGTTTTTATACTCACCCCTTTTATGTCTGATCTACATCTTTACCACCTGGCTTAAAAAAAAAAAAAAAACCAACCAAGTGACGCTGCCCCCCCATCAGTTCTGCGGTCGCCACGCCCCCTCAGCACCGTCTGCGGCCAGAGGGTTCTGCACAGGTTAGGGGCAGACACAACTGAGATGGTCTTTTGTTTTAAAGTTACTTTTAGAGAGGGGGAGGGAGGAGGAGAGGAGACAGACACGGATGTGGGAAATACCAATTAGTTGCCTGCAGATGCTCAACTGGGGACTGAACCTGCCACCCAGGCACATGCCCTGACTGGGAATCGAACTGGTGACCTTTTGTCTGTAGGATGACGCCCCACCCACTGAGGGATACTAGTCAGGGTGAGGTGGTCTTTTCACTTCTGTCCCCACCTGTATGTTCCATGATTTAATGTATTTTCATGGTGTATTTAAGGGACTGCCTAGGTCCAGTTAAAAACCGTTGACTGAGGCCAAAGTGGCCAGAAGGGATTTTGTATGAGATACCAGCCCACAGGGACGGAGACTACAGGAGACCACAACAGAGTGGAGATGTCCGCCCGTCCTGGAAGGCAGGGGGCCCAGGACAAGCGGTGCCGGGCTGACCGGGGAGGCCCAGAGTGGCCAGCCTGGGCGGTGCTCCTGGGGGCAGGGTGGGAGCCTGAGGACCCGGACAGCTTGCTCCACAGAGAGCGAATAGGGGTCCTAGCAGCTTGGGGACTGGCAGGCCGAAGACAGGCTGCTGGTCACAGTGGGGCTCCGCACCCTGCCCCACCCCGTCTCCACCCCGCAGGTCAGAGCACACCTGCCCCCCAACCGGGGGCCGGCGGGGGCCTCTGGACAGAGGCCCCAGAGAAAAGCCCTCTAGGCGCTGGCCCTGGGGCTGTGCCAGCTGGTCCCCACGGTGGGCCGGGGGCTGCCTGACAGAGGGCGAGCACATCTCCGGGGCAGGGCCGACCGGCGTCGGGGGCCGGAGCGTCCTCCTTGGGACTTGCCGGGCCGCAAGCAGCACTGAAGGGACAGTGGTCAGAGCGGGTCCTCCAGGGGGCGCAGCTGCACCGCGAACACTGAGGCCGGTGAGGCCGAATCGCCCCGCTGCCCCTTGGGGTGCGGGCAAGGGCCCCTGGGCCCACCCGCGAGGAGAGCCTCCCCAGCCTGGAGGGGTGTTGCTTCTCTTCCCTCCATGACAGACACTGACGTCCCAGCTCCTTTCTGGGGTCTCAGAACCATCAGCATCCGTCCCCGGGGCACTGCAACCCCACGGACTGTCCGTCATGGGGCGGGGGCTGGGTGGGCTCCCCTGCCCCACCCACCACGGGCACCGGGCCTGGGTGCTCCTCTGCTCTATCCTAAGCTCACCCCAGGCCCTGGCCTCGGCCGGGCTCCATCCCTCCCACCCCAGCCCCCTCTGCGGGGCTCCAGCCCCAGCCCCACTGCCCCTGCAGCCCCAGCACCAACTACAGCGGTGCCGGGAGGTCTGTGGGGGCTTCAGCTCCCCACAGACCCCTAAGCCCCGCCCACTGCCTCCTCCGGCCCAGCACTGGGCGGCGATGCGCAGAGACCCCTGGAGCTGTGAGATGCCCTCCAGGAGGAGGGCCAAGGCAGCGCCCCAGGAAGGAGCTGTGCGCAACGCCAAGCCCTGCTGGCCGTCTCCCCCGCGCCCCCGGCCCAGGGTCCACAGGGACAGGGACGGCGGGTCAGGAGCCCCGGGACAACAAAACACCTGTTTATTTCCTAGGAAGAACACGGGGGTGTTTGGGGAGCTCGCACTGCAGCCCTCCTGCCGCAGGGCGCGCACACATCACTTCCAAAAGAGGACATTCCAGAAGAGCAGCCAGCAGGGGTAGAGGCCCAGAGCCAGCAGCGGGAAGAGCAGGGCGCCGTAGGCGTGGTGGTCCAGCACGCCCTGGGCCAGCGCGGCCAGGAAGAGCTGCCAGCCCTCAGCCAGCGACAGCGGGGCCTCCTGCAGCTCCCGCCACAGGAACAGGCTGCCCAGGAGCGTGGCCGCCGGGCTGGTCAGCACCAGAAGAGCGGCACAGAGCGGCCTGGGCGGAGAAGTGGGGTCAGGAAGGCTGAGGCGGGGCACAGGCCCCGGGGGTGGGGGTGGGGGGCCCAGCGGCACGTACCGGGGCCCACAGGGCTTAGTGAACGCAGCGGCAGGCACCATGGTGGCGGCCAGCAGGAAGCCCAGGGAGAAGTTGGTGAGGGTGATGCAGGCCAGCTGTAGTGCCAGGTAGATCAGGGCCACCAGCTTCAGTGCCATCCAGCCCCTGTCTGGGGCCTGTGTGCTCACCACACTGCAAGGCAAGGGCTCAGTGGCAGCGGCCCGTGTGCCTGGGGTGCCCCCTGCCTGTGCCCACCCAGCCCAGCGCCTCACCGGTGGGTGTTGTGTGGAAGAGCCAGGCCAGCCACATAGATGGCCAGCAGCGTCAGCACCACAGCCTCAGCCTCGGCCACGGGGAAGTGCTGGGCGGCCACGTGCTGGCCCAGCACGGGTAGGACGTAGAGGGCCAGGCCCATGGCCTGCGAGATCAGCAAGGGCGCCACGAGGGAAGCCAGCCCCACGCCCTGTGGGGCAGACAGGGGGCTGGAGATGGACCCCGGGGCCAGGCAAGGCCAGCGGTCCTCACCACCCCCACCAGGTGAGACTGTGGCAGCAGTAACCACCTCCGGGGAACCTAGAAGCCCACCCCAAGGGCAGAGCGGGGGGACCGTCACCTGTGCTGGGGGTGGGGAAAGACTCAGTCCGGAGACCGCCCCAGCCTCCGTGGGGCCTGCTCCGGCCTCGTGCAGCTGCATCCACAGCTCCAGGGCGTGGCCTAGTCAAGGACGCTGACAAGAGGTGCGATGGGATCTGCCTGGGGGGACCCAGGGCTCCCCCCCACTCCCTCACCCGAGGGTGGGGGCTCTCCTCAGCCTAGAGTGGAGGGGACCTGGGGCTGGCCACAGGTGGGCAGAGGGATGCGGAGGATATCTTGAGACCGAGGACCAGGAGCAGGAAGCCGGCGGCAGGCATGTAGAGGCCGATGGAGACAAAGCGGGAGAGGGCAGGGAGCAGGTAGAAGAAGAAGGACTGGTGCAGACGCTCCAGGAGGTGGTTGAGTTTGCGGAACATGCCCTCCAGAGCCCTGCGGGCGAGGGACAGGGTCAAGGCCGGCCGGGGCCCCGGGCACCCCTATCCTGCCCTGAGCGTGGAAGGGGGGCCAGCACCACTTACTTGCCCACGGCCACCAGATCATACTTATACTGGCGGAAGCTATTGATGCCACGGAGGGTTAGAGCCTCCACGCGGTAGCGCAGGAAGAGGCCGTGGGGGCCGTGGGGGCGGCCAGACGCCTGCTGCAGAACCATGAGCAACAGCGTCTGCAGACCCTGCAGCGGCCCGTCTATCGACGTCCAGTCCTGGGGCTGCAGCTTTGAGGGTGTGGAGACAGGGTCAGGTGACGCCCCCACGGGCCCCGCACCCCCCAGGCAGGCCGCTCTACCTTGCCCTGCAGCGTGCACAGCAGCCCCAGCCTCTGGCAGAAGGTCTGGAAGAGGTTGAGCAGGTCAAGGTTGGGCAGCTGCCCGTTGAGTCCCTCCACGGCCACATCAAGGCTAGTGACCACATCGCTGCTCAGCTCCAGGGCCACAGCGGCCTGGATGGCCCCGGCCCGGCCCTGCAGAGGGGACGACTGCATGCCTGTAGGGGCAGGGGAGTGAGCGGCCAGCGCGGGGCTGGGGAGGGCAGGGGCCTGAGGGGCTGGGGCAGGGCAAGAGCACCCACCAGTGACGTTGACGTCGTGGTAGGCTTCAAGCCACGCCTCAGTGCCGAGAAGGTCGTGTTCTGTCACCAGGAAGATGATGTCTTTGGCCCAGTAAATCTGCCCTGGAGGCCAGAAGCAGGGTCAGCAGGACCTGAGGCAGTGGCGAAACCCTCCCTTGCCAGGAGTAGCCCCCGAGACTCACCCCGAAAGTGAGCAGCCAGTGCCAGCAGCAGCCCCACAGCCTGGCTGTTGGTAGACTCAGGGCCACAGGGCACGGTGAGCACCAGAGACTCGGTGCTGGCAGCGCGCGGGGCCCGCAGGATGCCGTACACATTGGTGCCCGAAACCATCTGCGCAGATGGGTGGGGAAGCCTCAGCACGACCCCACCCTTATTCGGCGGGAGCCTCTCCCCTTTCGGCCACAGAATGCCCACCAGGACTTTCCCTGGCCCCAAGCCATCCCCTCAAGGAGCTTTTAGGTCCCAGGCACCCCTTCCTCCCACTATACATAGCGCTCGTGGATCTCATCTGGAAAAGGCAGTTTCCGGGAGAAACTCTGTGTGTAGACTTCCAGCCCCACGGACCGCATAGTCCGTTCCAGCCAGGCCACTGGCAGAGCCCTAGAGACACAGGTCAGCCTTTGAGTAGAGCGCCCCGGCCTTGACCGCCACTGTGTCCCCGACACCCACGGCTCCACCGCTCACCCCGACTTCTTGCGGTGGGCAGCGAAGTCCCGGGCAAAGTTCCGGGCCCGGTCGCCACCCGCAAACTGCTCCTCCACCATGGTGGAGCCCATGGCGTTCTCCGACATGTATGTGCGCTGGGTCAGCGGCGGGAAGGCCAGCGCCAGGAACCAGGCGATGCCCGCCACATAGCTCAGCACGCTGCGGGGAGAGGGGGCGTGTCTGAGGGACCCGAACGCGCAGTCCCGGCCCTGGCGACTAGGGACGGGAGAGCTGAGCGCGGCCTGATGCCCCGAGTGATGCCGGCGAGCCCAGACCCCCAGGGCCCGCCCTCACCAGAGCGGCGCGTTGAGGCGCAGGATGAGGCGGACGAGCGCGCGCCGGCGCACGGGGTCCGACAGGAGGCCCATGGCCGGGCGGCTCGCGGACCCCGCTCCCGCCGCCTGCTCCCGCCGCCGGCCCGGCGCGCCCCTGCTGTCACACGCCGGGATCCGCGCGCGACCGCAGTTCCGGTCCCGGCGGCCCCCGCGGCGCCGCGCACGCGCGGCACGGGCCCACCCCGCAAGGCCGCTGCGCAGACTCGAGGCGGCGGGTGTGACGCGACCCAAGGGGCGGGGTTCCCAGGTCCGCAGTTCGCGGCACCGAAGAGCCGTGCGGGGCACAGCCCGCTGCCGTGGCAGGTCGGGGCAAGGAGAGAGCTCCGGCTCAAGGCTTAGGCGAATCAGAGGAGGGAGATGAATTGGGCAGGTGGGTGGAAAACCGGAGCACGGTTGCCGGAGGTCCTGAAGGTGCTGCTACTGGCAATGACAAATCTGAGTGCCCGTGGAGTGGTGAGAAGGGGGCTCCTGCGGTCTGACAGGCCACGACGCGGGCACTCATTCTCATGGATGTCGGTCGCCAAGAATGGCAGTGGGTGCCTGAGTGGAAGCACCGCGTGAGCCCACCATCGGGGTCAGAGGACCACAGGGAGGAAGCAGCGGATGGTACAATCAAAACGGCTTTCAGAGAAGCTGGGAGCGCTCCTGTCCAGGCCGGGAGGTGCCGGGATTTTAGGGGAGAAGCAGCCTCTGGATGTAGATCGCTGGGGCGGGTGCTCAGGGCTCAGGCAGGTCTGAGAGCAGGAGGGAAAGGAGCGGGGAATGTGTGTCCCGCTGAGGGTGGGTCAGAGCTGAGGAGAGAAAACTCCAGGGGGGAATGAGCGTCTGTTGTACTTTTGGGGCCGAAGCTAAGAACAGACCCAGGGTTTTTAGGGGAAAAGGAGCCATTTAGTCCTAAGTCATAGTCCTAGGATGTGGACGCGGCCCCTCCCACATCAGCAGGGTGGGTACCCAGAGCCAGCTGAGAGCTACCTCAGCCCTTGTGCTCAGGGCCACGCGTGTGTGGGGTGAGGAAAAGACTCCACCTAAGGGCCTGGCTCAGTCTGTCAGGCCACACCTCACTGCTCCGCTGCCTTCAACCCCTCTCGGCACAAGCTGTTTTCTCCATCAGGGACAAACTCTCCCCCGCTCTTCTTCAGGATTCGAATCCTGAGGCTGCAAGAGGTATGCAGTTCGTGCGGGGGAGGAAGGTCCCTAGTCGCCCCCCCAAGCCAGCACCAGGCCAAACTCTGAACTACTGTGGGAGATCAAAGTGCAGCGGGCTGTGTGTGGATTTTATTCTGGCCGTGGGTGATGCACTTCATTCAGTCCCCGAGCATCACAGAGGCCTCTCGCACATGCTGCCGGACCACACGGTCCAGCAGCGTGTGCACATCTCGGGCAGCCCGGGCAGCGGCCTCCAGCACCCGCTCCAGGTGGTCCTCATGCAGCCTGGCATCCATCTCAAGCAGTGCGATCTGGCCTGAGGCCGGCAGCAGGGCCAGGGCCAGCTGGGGACCACCCGCTGCTTCCTCCACATGGCTGAGGTCCGCCAGGGCGGTGCCGTCCACGGAGCCGGCGGAGCAGGCGCACACAAAGTCCCGCATCGGTATCCCGGCATCCAGCACTGCCAGCGTGGCTGCATTCACACAAGCCGCATAGGTCCCACCGTCTGCCTGCAGCACCTGCAGGGACCCCGCCCCGGTGGCATCAGTCCCTTCGGCTGCCTACCTTCAGCCCCCTCCCTCCCTCCCTCTCCCGCCTCTCCCCAGGGTGAGGGCGCCTGCCTGCTCACCTGCACGTAGATGTCAATCTGGGAGCGGGGGTGCAGCTGCGTAAGGATGGCTGCCTCAAAGGTCTGACGCAGCTGCAGACCCATCTCGCAGGACTTCCGGTCCCCATGTGGCCGCCGCTTGCGCTCGCCTGTGCTGAAGGTCGCAGAACTGTACTGACAGTTTACCAGGGCCCTGTCTGGTAGGGCTCGTGCCCGGGAGCCCCGGATCTGGGGGAGAAAGGACACGTGAGCCAGGCCCACTCCTCCCAGCTCACCCTTCCTCTGGCTCAGGTCCGGAGCCTCAGCCTCCCTCTCCTGCCAACATCTCAAGTGCAACTCCCTCCCAAAGAGAGCCTGTCGGAGGGCCACCCGATCAGCCTCTAAGCCACCATCACCTCTGGGCCTTACCTCTCTTAATAGGCCTCCCTGTTTGCATCCTTGCCTCGTCCCCTCCCAATCCATTTTCCATTTGTAGCCAGAGTCAGTGTTTCCTCTACACAGCCACATACTTCCAAAGGCTTCCCATCAGATAAAATCCTAAATCTCTCCCTAGTCTACAAACTCCACGTTTGTGCCTCCCCAAAAGCCCCTCACGCTCCTTTAGAATCCCCCATCTCCCCCGCCAGCGGCCCTTCCGCTCCGCAAAAGAGCCATGCTTGTTCCCACTCCTTCTGGCCTGCTCTCTCTTAGCTCCCTCCCCCAGGAAGGCTGAGCTCCTAGACTTAAGCTGGGGGCAAACATTTTTTCAGTGCCTGTGTTGGCAGGCTTTGTTAGAAGGCTGGCGACTGGCAACAAAACCAGGGAGTTTTATTTAAAGTCTCTGTGCTCACGGAGCTTATGTTAGCGGGCAGACCACCGATGAGAAGTTAAATTGGGTGCCTGAGCTGATAGGTGCAGGAAGGCAGGGAAGCGTGCAGTTGTAGGCAACAGGACTTGCCACCTGGATAAGGTGGTCTGGGGAGGTGCCGTCCAGACGGTGCAGTCGGAACGGAGGTGAAGAAAGGAGGGGGAGCACGCCTGGCGCTTTGAGGAAGGGCAGGGAGGAGTGGAGGGCGCAGGCGTCAGAGGCAGATGAAACAGGAAGGGACCACCGAGCATCACAGTGCAAGGATTTGGGCTTGTACTCCGGCGCCGCGCGCGGGTCGTCGCACTCGCTCAGGCTGAGCGGGTCGAAGCCTCCGCTGAGCCTGGCGGCCACCGCCCACCCCCGCAGGTCGCCCGCCAAGTCCACTCGCCTCGTGCGGCCCGTAGACCACGGCCAGCGCCTTGGTGTTGCCCTGCTCGATGTAGGCCGAGCCGTCAGCCTGCGCGAACACGCCCATCCGCGCCTGGATCTTGCGCAGCTCCCCGGCGCGCCGCCCGTCCACCCGGTAGCCCTGGTCCGACAGGAGCTCCAGCCCCGCCATGCCGCCGGGTCGCCAGATCGCCTCCCGCCTCCCGGAGAACCACACTAATCGCTCCCACTTCCGACCTCTCGGGGGTCTACAATTTTCGGCGGACCGGATCCCTACTTCCGGCCTCACAAGGACGGTTCCAGGCAGCCCAGATCCGCAACTTCCGGTCTCAGAGAACTACGGTTCCCGGCGGCGCCACTTTCCTCACTTCCGGCCCCGGGGGACTTCGGCGGTGCTGGTGGCGGGAGGCCGGGCTGTCCCCGCAGCCGCCGGGGTGGAGCGGCGCTGGGGGCAGAATTCCCCGGCCGCACGCCACCCTGGTTGCCTCCGCCCGGCTCGCCTTTGCATCTCTGGATGCGGGAGTCGCCTTGGAGGTTTACGGGCGTAGATGCGTCCATTCGCCCAAGCTGAGACACTTTCTCTTCTTTTCTTACTCTGTAGTGTTTATAGTTGAAAATGGACACGTGACTTTGTATTACCCGTACACATAGTCTCATTCTTTTTAGAGCAGTTTTCATTCTCCACGTTGGCCTGATTCTCCTGTCCGCACACCCCTCGCTCCATTTCACTTACACTAATAAATGGTGCTTTTCACGTGTCCCTCCGTGCTCCCATAATTGGGTACAAATTACACGCAAATACGAGGACATTGAGTAGCTTTTGGAATTCAGGTTATTTTTTTAATGAGATCGTTTCATACACTTTTTGTGTATTTCACAAAAAAAAAAATCCTATGAAATCCGTCTAAATAATTCTGCAGAACTCATTAATATTTTGTTGGCTGCTTGAAAACCATGGTGTAGATGTGCCAGGATGTATCCGGCCACTGCCCCGTTGTGTATACGTTCCGGGGGGTGTATATGTTCGACGGCGGTTATTCTCGCCGACCTTTCTTGTGCGACCGTCACACTAACCTGTTTCAGCACATGCTTTTTAATTTTTTGCTGAAAATGTGACATTTCAGATGACCTGTTCTAGGGGCTCTGGATTATAATCAGCCAGTCTCCCCCTCAGCATGCTGATGCTGCTTTTTGGTTAGTTTACCAGCCTTGTGTGGTCTCCGGGACAGTGCTGTGACGTCCGTCCGCTCTCCCACAGTATGCATCTTCTGATGTCACTCCTCGCCCCCCACTCCTGGTTCTTATGATTCCGGCTGGTGCCCTGGACGTCACATCTCAGCCAGCGTGGCTTAGGGTTCAGCCCCCACATTGGGCAAAGATTGTGCTTAAGCTTCCGGAGCCAGTGAGGCACAGTCCTTCGCTGATGGACCAGTGTGTGGTTAGGGAAGTTTTCAGGTCTGTCCCATATCCAGCCAGTGTAACAGGCTGCAGAACACCCTCCAAAGACATCCGGGTTCTAATCCCCCAAAGGCTGTGGATGTACCTTATAAGGCAAAAGAATTTTGCAGAAATGATTCTGTTAAGGACCTTGAGATGGGGAGAGTGTCCTGGATTATCCAGGTGGGCCCCACGTGTAATCATGAGTATCCTTTTAAGGTGGAAGCAGAGGAATACTTGGTTACAGAAGAAGGCGAGGTGACCTTGGAGGCAGGGAGTAGAGTGCTGTTGCCACAAACACAGGAACACTGGACACTGGAGAAGGCAAGGAATGGATTCTCGGGAGCCTCCAGGAGGAACCCTTCCTGCTGATACTTGGATTCTAGCCCAGAAGACTCAGCATGGACTTCTGGCCTCCAGAAATGAAAGAGAATAAAAGTCTGTTGTTTTAAGCCTTCAAGTTTGTGGGAATTCGTTGGTAATTTCCTACCTTCTCATTACTAAGATGTCCATTGTCTCCCAGAATACCACACTCAAGCTCCAAAGCAAGCCAGCCTGCTTGGCCTTGCTGGGGAGCCGCTGGGCCTTCCCTCCTGCCTCCCACCCTGGGCAGGGGCTGGGGGAGCTGGGGGCGGGGTAGGAGCCTGACCTACAGGTTGGTGTTGAAGGGGATGGTCGGCCTTGTCTCCTCAGCTTGTCCTTCCCGGTGGAAACCTCCACCCTGCAACTGGAAGGCCTGTCCTCGGCCTCAGCCTCTTGGAGTCGAGCTTTCAGGACAGGGACCTGGGGTGGGAGGGAGCAGGTTCTGATTCACACGCCAGATTCGCGTTCTTACCAAGACTTAGTAGACCCCCCTGAATAAATGCCGTGTGTCCTTCGGTCAACTCCAGAGGACAAGGGTCACACGGTCCTCCTGGAAGATCTGCCTCTCCCCCTGCCAGGCCTCTCACAGTCAAGGCCTGGTACAGGCACATTGTCACTTCCACCGTATTCCTCTGGTCAGAAAGGAGGTGCACGGCCAGTTCAGGTGGCTGGGGGTGAGGAATGGACCCCCTTTGAGGGGACAGCAGCACATCCGTCTTTGAGTGCCTGTCTACATCTCAGGTGAAGCCACTGCCAGCCTCCTCCCGCAACTGGAAGCAACTGCTCCTGCCAGGAAGGGGGGCTCCTGGGAGTTCGGGAGGGCGAGGTTGCGGAGGACCCGCGGAGGGCCCCGCCCTGGGCCTTGGGGCACTGCCTCTGCCATGGGAGAGTGCGCGTCGGCTGTGCCCCTTGTATCACCAGGTCCTGAGCGTCCTTCACCCAGGAGGCTGTGCGAGTTGTCCACTTCTGTGGGACAAGTGACCACAGTGAAAACTACACCTGTTTGTTAACTCACAGCTCTGCAGGTCAGAAGGCTGGGCACAGTGTGGCCAGAAGTTGGCGTTGAATGACTATCTAATGTGACTTACTTTCAGCTGGATCAGCTGGAAAGACTTTCTTTATTTTTAGAGACGGGAAGGGAAGGAGAAAGAGAGGGAGAGAAACATCCATGTGTGGTTGCCTCTCACACACCCCCTCCTGGGGACCTGGCCCGCAACCCAGGCCTGTGCCCCGACTGGGAATCGAACCGGTGACCCTTTGGTTCACAAACCAGCACTCAATCCACTGAGCCACACAAACCAGGGCTATTTGTTTATATCTTGTAAAATGTAAACCCAACTGTTGGCCTTGGGGTGGCCCCCCTGTCCCCAGGAATCTGCAGTCCTCGGACCGCTCAGGGGGCCTGCCCGCTGCCTGCCCCGAGGCGGAGGCCCTGATGTGGGGCCTCACCCAGAGCGCCTGCCCTCTACATGGCAATGCCGCCCCTGGTGCCCCTGGAAGCACGGCCAGGTCCTTCTCTTGGCCTCCCGCTCCAGCCGGACATGATCGGCAGCTCAGCCCTCCTGCCGACCCGGCAGCTGAGTCCGCTGTCCAGCTCCTGCTGCTGCTGGGCCACTGCCCCCTCCCTCCAGGCGGCTCAAACACCCACCGTCTAGGTTGGCGATTTTCAATCAGGCACGCGGCAAGCAGTCTTAACACTTGCAGTACCTGACTATGGAGTCAGGGGCACCGACCTCTTTTCCCTTAGGTTATCAAATAAAATTGACAAAAACCAACACAATAGCCATCCATCGTGGATGAATAAAAATTATACCTATTTTTTTGTCAGATCGGCAAAAAACATATTTTTGGGTGTGCCGCAGAACTTTAGAAATTAGGTCATGTGGGCCATGAAATGAAAAAGGTTGAAAATCGCTGCTCTAGACCCTCCAGACGCCGTGCGGGCCGCCACCGCCTCGGGCCCCATGCCCAGCCGCCCAGCCCCACGACCTGGCACGGGCGGGCAGGACACAGAGCGGCCAGAGGGGCCAGTGGGGGTGCCTGAATCTCCACCCATGTCCGTGCAACACACCCGCGCTGGGCTGGGATGAAGACGCTTCTGTCCTCCGGGAGGGGCCTCCCTACAGGCACCCCGAAGGCTGGGGCAGGCCTGGACTCTCTGGTCATTCGGCCCTGGGCAGGGCGGAGGGCAGAGGTCCGGGGTCCTGCTCACTTTGCTCCAGGCAGCTGGAACCCGGGGCCCAGGCTCTGGAGTCCTGGGATGGAATGCCACTGAGACCAGGGGGCAGGGGCAATGCTGACCTCACAATGGCGGGGTCTGCTGTCCCCCGCTAGCCCGCTGCCGCCGCCATCGCTGCTCCGGCCGATGCCTGGCATGTCCCTCCTCAGCAGCTACGAGGGTCTGCGGCAAGAGATCCAGCGGCTGGCGCAGGAGAACGAGGAGCTGCGGCGGCTCGTGCAGCTGATCCAGGAGAACCAGGAGCTGAAGCTGGTGCTCAGGAACCGGGGCAGCAGCCTGGGCTTCTGCAGCTCTGGGCTCCTGGCTGGGGTGACCTCCAGCCCCCGACTGCCCCGGCGCAGAACCATCAAGTTCAAGGATGCTGAGAGAGGTCAGCAGCGCAGAGGCTGCAGGGGCACCCCTCCTTCAGCTCGTGCCTAGACAGGGAAAAGGAGGGGGCTGGGACGCGTGCCCTGGAGGAATACGGGACAAAGCAAGGGCCCGGGCGGGGGGTGGGGGGCTCCTTTAGTAGGTGCAGGTGAGAGAAGGTGGCCTCACGGAGAAAGTGACATTGGACCAGAGTAGGACGGAAGTGTGGGGGACACGAGGCGGGGCGGGGGGCGGTTTCCAGGTGAACATCCGTGCAAAGGCCCTGAGGGGGCAGTGAGCTGGGTGTGCGGAGCCAGTGCTGGTGGGGTGCAGGGCAGACCCGGACCAGGCAGGCTCTGTGCAGCGCCCCCACCTCCGCCTTGACTGACGGAGGATGGGCTGGGAGGGACCGTCCTGGTGAGCAGCGCCTGGCGGCCGAGCGCAGGGCGTCAAGGGTGGTGGGCTCCAGATGCACACCTGGCAGGACTTTTGTCAGGTTGGGGTGGGGTGCCAGAAAGAGGGATACCATCCAAAGTGGCTCGTAGGGTTTGGCCCGAACGCTGCAAGTGGGCAGCTGCCCCGGAACAGGCCGGTGGCAGGTGACCCCCAGGCCTCACGGAACTAGCTCCACGCTTCGGGGCCTCTGGCCAGTACAGAGTCCAGGGAACACGCGAGTGGGCGTTTGGCGCAGGGCCTGACGGCCTGACCTGGAGGCGGGCCTGGGTGGGGCGGGGGAAGGGACGCGCGGGCACCGCACCGCCCCGCCCCGTCCGGGATCTGGCTGGAACGGCCCCGGCCGGCTGTCCTTGGGTGGCTCGCGGCAGAGGGCGGAGGGGGGGGGGGGGGGGACGGCTCCGGGCAGGCCCAGCCTGACGCCACTGGGAGAGCCGGGCGCGCCGGGACCTATCGTGCAGGGGGCGGG